TATTTGTAAGAATTGAAACAACTGTACGGGTCTCGCAGAAAATACAGTATGATCACAAGAAAACTCTATGGGAATATCAGTAAATATTTCACACTTGACTATAAAAGTCACATAGGGTGTTTCCATAAATGCTAACATTTCTTGAAGCATTTAACTATTTTTACATTACATAACCATTTAACGTTAACATATTAACTTTAACTCCGACCATCCTACGTCCGTTCCGTACCCCAGGCCATTCCCTGTGCAAATTTGGGTTAGGTTAGCCCCAAGCACCTGGCCTTCAACTTTGGACAGACAAACATACAGTCAATTAGAGACATTCTCTTTTACAGTAAAGATTGTTATTAAAATGATTTATATTATTATAGTTAGTACCTTACATTATGTTATTGAAATTATTATTATTACTATTATTTAACTCTTATTGTTGCTATTCAGAAATTGTGAGAGCGATAATCTTGAAGGTAAGTTGTTCTTATGAGTGTAAGTTGTAAGATATAATTATGCATGGGTATACGGACTCGAGGTGCAGTCCATCCACCTTCCTGGGTATAATGACTCTTAGTGTAGTCTAGGTACATGGACCCGAGGTGCAGTCCATCCACCTTCCTGGGTATAATGACTCTTAGTGTAGTCTAGGTACACGGACTCGAGATGCAGTCCATCCACCTTCCTGGGTATAATGACTCTTAGTGTAGTCTAGGTACACGGACTCGAGATGCAGTCCATCCACCTTCCTGGGTATAATGACTCTTAGTGTAGTCTAGGTACATGGACTCGAGGTGCAGTCCATCCACCTTCCTGGGTATAATGACTCTTAGTGTAGTCTAGGTACACGGACTCGAGGTGCAGTCCATCCACCTTCCTGGGTATAATGACTCTTAGTGTAGTCTAGGTACATGGACCCGAGGTGCAGTACACACACCTTCCTGGGTATAATGACTCTTAGTGTAGTCTAGGTACATGGAGCCGAGGTGCAGTACACACACCTACCATCTTGAATACATGGACTAGCGTCACTGAATGAAGCTCTGCGGCACAATACTGTTAATTCTGATGATGACATTACCAGGTGGCTATTCGATCATTATGACTGAACGTTTATAATAAACTCTGGCATCATCTTGCATGGTGAGGATTCGGTTGAAGACTCGCCTCACTTTGCACGATGACGACCCTTAACTAAACCAGCATTAAATCCTAAACATAACGCACACCTGTGTGGTATATTATTTAATTTAATAAGACTCCCGGTTTCGTGTAAATATTTTCATTGCAGCATAAAGATGGAAGGTAAATGATTAAAAGTGTATTATTCTGTGCTGATCTAAACATACACAAGTACAGAGCTGCAGCCAAAACTTTATAGAAGGCACTGAAGAAATCCTGTCTCTGGTTTGGGAATTAATTATAGAACATTTGTCAAAACTTTCTGTCTACGGTTGATAACGAGTCAGTATCATATATATTTTTGCCCTGATTGTACTTTAAGTAAGCAAGCCAGTGTTAGTATTTCCGGGAGGCTGAAATATAAAGTTTTTGATGACTGTGTGTTCTTGCAGGTGCAGCTCTCTATTCTTGTAAATAAAGCATGATCTGTATATTCCATTGGTCATTGTGCTTTGCTCATCAATAAGTCTAGCACTGTTATGTTCTGTGTAAGCTAGCGTGTGACCGACCACGACCTCGTCCCTCACAGCTGATGCGACCTCCGGACACAGAGTTCGCTGTACAAGGTCCGCGAGGGAGGCCACGAGGAGGCGACCCGTCTCGACAAACGACTGACGTACAAATCAAAGTTGTTTTGCCTATCACCTCCAAACTGTTTTATTTTTGGTTCAGCGTTCCTTACTCCTTGGAATTACTACATTCCTTTACTTTTTATGAAGTATGATGTGCGTGTGTGTATTCGCTGTAGTTTCCCATTTTCTGTTGGTGACATTTTTTTTATTAGTGTTGAGGGTGCGTCTAGTGTAATTTTCTTGGCCCGAGAGGACAGCTGGGCTAGCCCACGGGCCAGAGGACCCCCCTGACAGTCACGTCTGGTTTCGGTCGGGTTCTTTATATATATATATATAAGTATTATTGGACCATCAATGCAAATATTCTTATGTGGATTACTCTTGTAAATATGTGCAACCTGAATGCAAAGCAAACTTACTTATAAATAACTTGACATTGTATGGTAAAGTTGCTGGATCGCGTTTGCATGGCTATTCTTATTTTTTTAGATGCGTTGATTCCTTTTGAAACTCCCCGACCTGATTTTTCCTTATGACTGTTTGCCTTCAGTCAATACTTCAATACTTCAGTATGAAGACATACTTCATCTGTAACCATTATGTAATATGGAAAGATTTCTTAACGGGCATAGACGTTTTCTTAAGCCAGCTTGAGGACACAGCTGGCTTTATGTGGCTTTGCTGACGTTCGCTGTGTTTGGTCCGACTAGAGTGAGGGCGCTTGACACCCGTCTGGACGCCAACCTCCTCCTGGTTGGCTCCCAAACTCTGCCTGACTTGCCAAGCCCAGCCATGGCGACGCCTGTCAGACGTGACCCACATTCTCGCCCAGTACACCAAACACTACGAGCATTTCACAGTATCTTAGATCCTTCATTCTACGCATACCTACTTCATCAGTACTTCGAATTGACAAATATTTTTGTTCTCATCATATTACATTACAGAATGCATAATTTTTGTTTGTTAAATTTTAGTATTATCGACTTTAAAGCTTTTTTGCTTAATATATATATATATATATATATATATATATATATATATATATATATATATATATATATATATATATATATATATATATATATATATATATGTCGTACCTAGTAGCCAGAACGCACTTCTCAGCCTACTATGCAAGGCCCGATTTGCCTAATAAGCCAAGTTTTCATGAACTAATGCTTTTTCGACTACCTAACCTACCTAACCTAACCTAACATTTTCGGCTACCTAACCTAACCTAACCTATTAAGATAGGTTAGGTTAGGTTAGGTAGGGTTGGTTAGGTTCGGTCATATATCTACGTTAATTTTAACTCCAATAAAAAAAATTGACCTTATACATAATGAAATGGGTAGCTTTATCATTTCATAAGAAAAAATAGAGAAAATATTAATTCAGGAAAACTTGGCTTATTAGGCAAATCGGGCCTTGCATAGTAGGCTGAGAAGTGAGTTCTGGCTACTAGGTACGACATATATATATATATATATATATATATATATATATATATATATATATATATATATATATATATATATATATATATATATATATGTCGTACCTAGTAGCCAGAACGCACTTCTCAGCCTACTATGCAAGGCCCGATTTGTCTAATAAGCCAAGTTTTCCTGAATTTATATATTTTCTCTAATTTTCTTCTTATGAAATGATAAAGCTACCCATTTCATTATGTATGAGGTCAATTTTTTTTATTGGAGTTAAAATTAACGTAGATATATGACCGAACCTAACCAACCCTACCTAACCTAACCTAACCTATCTCTATCGGTTAGGTTAGGTTAGGTAGCAGAAAAAGTTAGGTTAGGTTAGGTTAGGTAGGTTAGGTCGTCGAAAAAACATTAATTCATGAAAACTTGACTTATTAGGCAAATCGGGCCATGCATAGTTGGCTGAGAAGTGCGTTCTGGCTATTAGGTACGACATATATATATATATATATATATATATATATATATATATATATATATATATATATATATATATATATAATTATCATTAAAACGGAAGAGAAAATTATGACAAAGTCCAAGGATGCCACATAAAAAATAATAATAATAATTTGTGTATCTAGAAGTAGCAGAATAAAGTGACTTAAACTTACATTGTAACATGTAGTCTTTAAATGATAAACATGAAAGTTATAAGTAGCTTTGGAGAAAGGAAAGCACTCTTCACGGTTGTGTAGTGTAGTTAAGAGTGTAAACATTACCAGAATAACACTGAAACCGAAAATTATAATTTATTAACATCTTTATTTTGTATTAGATATATAGTTGACGTATTGATTCATTTATAATATTTTATAACCCACGATATTACTATTGGTACGTGACTTAGTAAGTATACGGCACTGCCTGGAAGAAAGATTTACAGCGCTAACATGGTGTGTGGCGCCGCACCCTCTCCCAGCAAGTATATTCAACCAGACCATCGTGGTGTTGTAGAGCCCGGGGTGTGGTAGCGGTCTGGCCGGCCACCCCCAGGCTCTCCTGTCCGGTCATTAACCAACAACTATTCCCACCAGGTTTGGAACTGCCCTCAGGAAGATCCGAGTCCGAGCCGAGGACACAAGGTGCAGAACACTTTTACAAGCGATTCACCAACCAATATGACCACTAGGACTGGTTATACTTGGCTATACTCGCATCCTTGGTTTTCCAGCCACTCTCTCAGCTGACCTGACAACCAATTACTTGTTTTTGAATAGTTCTATTATGTCTATCACTGTGTCCTTCCCTCTCTCTCTGCCTCTCGTGTCTCAACCGTTCAGTCGTTTGGCATAGAAACTTTGCAGAGGACATAGAGGCTCTATAACCGACCATGTGACTCACAGCCCAAGCTATCTCAAGCTTCTGCGTCAGTTTATTTCTCCCACAAATTTTTGTGTACAATAGAATAATTTTCACATTATTAATTTTTCTTTAGCTGGTGATTTTTGCTTTCACTTTTATTTTTATAACTTTTTTTATGTAAATATTAATAGCTCCACTAATACTGACTTTAGATAAATCAAAGATAAATCATGATATAATTAATTAAAAAATAATTACGTTACTGTTAAAAAGCCGCCATAAAAACTAAATGTACATAATTGATTCTTTATTTCACATTCTTTGCCCCCAACCACACTTGTTGGGAGTTCGTCCCTCAGAACACTCCGACACACTCCTCACTTTCCCTCTACTCCTGCACAGCCACACGATACTAACGAAGTCACCTCCCCGCCCGCAGGAGAACAACAGCTTGAGACCTTACTTGGCGGAGGCCATCGCTGCTTGCTGCGTCTCCAGAGAGACTGGTCTCCTCTTTGGCCAGGCAGGGGCAGTAGCGCCGCTTGTCCAGTGAGTACGCGCGCGCGCACACACACACACACACACACACACACACACACACACACACACACACACACACACACACACACACACACACACACACACACACACACACACACACACACACACACACACACACACACACACACACACACACACACACACACACACACACACACGCACGCACGCACGCACGCACGCACGCGCGCACACACACACACACACACACACACACACACACACACACACACACACACACACACACACACACACACATAAGAGGTTGTTCTGGAAACTGGAAAATATTGGAGGAGTGACAGGTAAGCTTCTAACATGGATGAAAAATTTTCTGACTGATAGAAAAATGAGGGCAGTAATCAGAGGCAATGTATCGGACTGGAGAAATGTCACAAGTGGAGTACCACAGGGTTCAGTTCTTGCACCAGTGATGTTTATTGTCTACATAAATGATCTACCAGTTGGTATACAGAATTATATGAACATGTTTGATGATGATGCTACGATATTAGGAAGGATAAGAAACTTAGATGATTGTCATGCCCTTCAAGATGACCTGGACAAAATAAGTATATGGAGCACCACCTGGCAAATGTAATTTAATGTAAATAAATGACATGTTATGGAATGTGGACTAGAAGAACATAGACCCCACACAACCTATATATTATGTGAGAAATCTTTAAAGAATTCTGATAAAGAGATCTAGGGGTGGTTCTAGATAGAAAACTATCACCTGAGGACCACAGAAAGAATATTGTGCGAAGAACCTATGCCACGCTTTCTAACTTCAGAATTGCTTTTAAATACATGGATGGCGATATACTAAAGAAATTGTTCAAGACTTTTGTTAGGCCAAAGCTAGAATATGCAGCAGTTGTGTGCTGCCCACATCTTAAGAAGCACATCAACAAACTGGAAAAGGTGCAAAGACATGCTACCAAGTGGCTCCCAGAACTGAAAGGCAAGAGCTACGAGGAGAGGTTAGAGGCATTAAATATGCCAAAACTAGAAGACAGAAGAAAAAGAGGTGATATGATCACAACATACAAAATAGTAACAGGAATTGATAAAATCGAAAGGGGAAGATTTCCTGAGACCTGGAACTTTAAGAACAAGAGGTCATATATTTAAACTAGCTAAACACAGATGCCGAAGAAATATAAGAAAATTCACTTTCGCAAACAGAGTGGTAGACGGTTGGAACAAGTTAGGGGAGAAGGTGGAGGAGGCCAAGACCGTCAGTAGTTTCAAAGCGTTATATGACAAAGAGTGCTGGGAAGACGGGACACCACGAGCGTAGCTCTCATCCTGTAACTACACTTAGGTAATTACACTTAGGTAATTACACACACACAGCACCAGGTGTTGCACCAGGCAGAAACAAGTGGGCAAAGTTTCTTTCCCCCTTGAATGCCCCTGTTATCTAGCACTAAATAGGTACCTGGGAGTTAGTCAGCTGTCACGGGCTGCTTCCTGGTGTGTGTGTGTGTGTGGTGTGGAGGAAAAAAAAAGTAGTTAGTAAACAGTTGAGAGGCGGGCCGAAAGAACAAAGCTCAACCCCCGCAAACACAACTAGGTGAATACAGCAGTTGATTGACATGATCACAATGGTGTACTGTCCCCATTGGTCTGTAGCATGAAGTAGTTGTACTTTGAATTAGATTCTACAGACCAGTAGAGAAACACCAACATCGACGAAGACCTCCGTACTCGAGTCGACCAACATCTCGACATTCTTGCAGATCGACATCGCCACAGCACCGAAACCGGTGCTGTCAGTCTCCGTTTTGTAGTGGTAAGACACTCGCCTGGCGTTCCGCGAGCGCTATGTCATGGGTTCGTATCCTGGCCGGGGAGGATTTACTGGGCGCAATTCCTTAACTGTAGCCTCTGTTTAACGCAACAGTAAAATGTGTACTTGGATGAAAAAACGATTCTTCGCGGCGGGGGATCGTATTCCAGGGACCTGCCCGAAACGCTACGCGTACTAGTGGCTGTACAAGAATGTAACAACTCTTGTATATATCTCAAAAAAAAAAAAAAAACAGAATCATCAAGAAACTGCCAACATTATTCGGAGGACCTATGGGGATTCCTCGACCAAGAGATGGCTTCTTAAACCTTGCTGGAATCAACCTCACTGACGACCAAATCACTCTCTTAAATTTGGGAATAAACTGTCACGTTATGTCCAGACCAAGCGAAATGGCCCGGAAGGTGGAGTTGGAGATACTATTGGACGACATATTCGACCTCGAGACGCAAAAGGTTACCACTAAAGACACCTTGCAAGCAGAACTTATTGCAGTAGGAGAAAAGATTCGTGGTAACTACAGAAGCACCATACTGTCCCCTCGAGCTCAAAGTGGCAGCCTTCGTGAGAACAAGGAGATAGTCGTCAGGAGAGATGACAAGTCGCCAATATACATTAATCTTAAAAAAGACGAATTTTTGGCAAAAATTAACCTCATACTCTCCGACCAAACTAAATTCCAGAAGGTAACGAGGGATACTACAGCCGAACTGAAAACGAAGGTAAACAGATTGATTGAAACTGTGAACGCCAAGAAATCTGGTCTCCACCTGCCAAAGGTTATCGGGGAATACAAACCTGGTTACGCATATGGGAATGTCAAGGCACACTAGCCTGGAAACCCACTTCGGCTAATCATCAACCAGATACCCACACCCACATACAGACGGGCTAAGCGACTCAACTGCCTGCTGACTCCTTATGTGTCTTGTGCTTTTATCCTGAAGTCTCCAAAGGAATTCGTTGACTTACTGCAGGGAGCAGCACGGGCCACGGGGATAAGAGCCTCTCTGGATGTAGAGTCGCTGTTTACCAATGTGCCTGTGGACGAAACAATCAGGATGATGAGGGACAGAGTTTATCGTGATTTGGCTTGTACCTCTTTGGACATACCAGAGAGCATACTGAGGAAGTTTCTCGAAGCCTGCACTAAAGAGGCACCCTTCTTGAGTCCCAATGGGCACGTCTATAAACAAGTAGATAGGGTCGCCATGGGTTCTCCTCAAGTTGTCCTGTTTGCAAACTTCTACATGGGTACTATAGAGCAGAGGGTCTTAGTTGACATGGACTTGAAACCCGCCATATACTGCAGGTACAATGGCGGCATATTTATGCAGGTACCTGATGTCAGACGTCTGCAGCACCTGAAGAGAGGCATTCGAGCAAAATTCGGTGTTAAGTTTCACTTACGAGATGGAGAGTGAGGGGAAGCTGCTTTTTCTAGATGTAACAGTCACGGAAAGGAATGGAGGCTTCCACACTGCAGTCTACACTAAGAAAACGAACATAGGAATGTGCCTTAATGCCAATAGTGACTGCTCACGCAGGTACAAGAGGAGTGTTGTCAACGCTTATGTCGACCGGGCTCTCACCGGCTTCCATCGACCTGGATGGAAGCAGGTCGATGAAAACTCTGTAGGGCAGGTGGTATTCAACAATGGCTTCTCTAACGGTTTTGTTGAAGACGTCATTAAAAGAAAGGTGAAACGCCATGCAATCTCTGAGGAATCAACTAACACAACACTTGTACACCCTATTAGACTGTTTTACAGGAAATTCTTTTCGACGGCTCATAAACAGAGGAAAGTGTCCTGAAAGATATTATTAATAGGAACGTTATTCCCAAAGATACAAATCAGAAGATGCAATTAACAATTTACTACAAAAACAAGAAAACTGCCAACCTACTCATAAAAAACCTTCCAGACACCAAACAGAACGCCTTGAAAGAAACCAACGTCGTCTATGCCTTCACTTTCCCACTTGGGGACTGTCAGCCCCAAAGATCTCAGTATATGGGCAAGACAACAATATCTCTTTCCAGGTGATTAAAAAAGCACAAACAACAGGGCTCCCTCAAGGAGCATATAATCACCTCACACAACCACACCATCACCATTAACAAGTAACACTGAAATTATCGATAGATACAACGATAACAGGAGACTCGACATCAGCGAGGCCCTACACGTCAAAATGTCAAAACCAGCAATCAATAGCCAATTCACACATTATTACATTTAATTATAATGTTGGCTGTTAAAAAGTATTTGCAACAATGTTATCTCCAGTAACTTATTTAAGGTATATATGATTTATAGATTTCAATTATATTATAATTAGCTTTTTGTGCAAAAGGTGATAATGGACTAATTTAAGATAATTATATTCAAAATAACAATTAAAAAACTTTTATACTGCAATCATCCTGTGACTTCACTCTTGTACAGCCTTCAGTGTCCTTAACTCTATGCTCGGTCACAAGGCAGGATAGCTTTTATAACAGTACAATAGCGAAATGTAGTTAAAACTTGAACCAACACTGGAAGTATCTCTATTCCTCTTCAAACAGGTACTACAATTAAACAAAAGAAATATGTTGAGATACGATTTAATTGTCTCCATCAGGTACCTGGAGACCGACGACAGCACCATCAGGAGGCCCACCTGCCGGGCCCTACACCGCCTCTCCCTCGAGCCTGAGAACTGTGTTACTTTACACCAGAGTGGTGCAGTGCCGGTCAGTACCCCTGTGGTCTCCTGTGGCCGGGGTGTGTGGGTGGAGGTCAACCTTATGACCAGGGGGTGTGTGGGTGGAGGTCAACCTTATGACCAGGGGGTGTGTGTGGAGGTCAACCTTATGACCGGGGGGTGTGTGGGTGGGGGTCAACCTTATGACCGGGGGTGTGGGTGGAGGTCAACCTTATGACCGGGGTGTGTGGGTGGGGGTCAACCTTATGACCGGGGGGTGTGGGTGGAGGTCAACCTTATGGCCGGGGTGTGTGGGTGGAGGTCAACCTTATGACCGGGGTGTGTGGGTGGGGGTCAACCTTATGACCGGGGGGTGTGTGGGTGGAGGTCAACCTTATGACCGGGGTGTGTGGGTGGAGGTCAACCTTATGACCGGGGTGTGTGGGTGGAGGTCAACCTTATGACCGGGGTGTGTGGGTGGAGGTCAACCTTATGACCGGGGGGGTGTATGGGTGGAGGTCAACCTTATGACCGGGGTGTGTGGGTGGAGGTCAACCTTATGACCGTGGTGTGTGGGTGGAGGTCAACCTTATGACCGTGGTGTGTGGGTGGAGGTCAACCTTATGACCAGGGGGTGTGTGGGTGGAGGTCAGCCTTATGACCGGGGTGTGTGGGTGGAGGTCAACCTTATGACCGGGGTGTGTGGGTGGAGGTCAACCTTATGACCGGGGTGTGTGGGTGGAGGTCAACCTTATGACCGGGGGGTGTGTGGGTGGAGGTCAACCTTATGACCGGGGGGTGTGTGGGTGGAGGTCAACCTTATGACCGGGGGGTGTGTGGGTGGAGGTCAACCTTATGACCGGGGGGTGTGTGGGTGGAGGTCAACCTTATGACCGGGGTGTGTGGGTGGAGGTCAACCTTATGACCGGGGGGGTGTGGGTGGAGGTCAACCTTATGACCGGGGTGTGTGGGTGGAGGTCAACCTTATGACCGGGGGGTGTGTGGGTGGAGGTCAACCTTATGACCGGGGTGTGTGGGTGGAGGTCAACCTTATGACCGGGGTGTGTGGGTGGAGGTCAACCTTATGACCGGGGTGTGTGTGGGTGGAAGTCAACCTTATGACCGGGGGGTGTGTGGGTGGAGGTCTACCTTATGACCGGGGTGTGTGGGTGGAGGTCAACCTTATGACCGGGGTGTGTGTGGGTGGAGGTCAACCTTATGACCGGGGGGTGTGTGGGTGGAGGTCAACCTTATGACCGGGGGGTGTGTGGGTGGAGGTCAACCTTATGACCGGGGGGTGTGTGGGTGGAAGTCAACCTTATGACCGGGGGGTGTGTGGGTGGAGGTCAACCTTATGACCGGGGTGTGTGGGTGGAGGTCAACCTTATGACCGGGGGGTGTGTGGGTGGAGGTCAACCTTATGACCGGGGGGTGTGTGGGTGGAGGTCAACCTTATGACCGGGGGGTGTGTGGGTGGAGGTCAACCTTATGACCGGGGGGTGTGTGGGTGGAGGTCAACCTTATGACCGGAGTGTGTGGGTGGAGGTCAACCTTATGACCGGGGGGTGTGTGGGTGGAGGTCAACCTTGTGACCGGAGTGTGTGGGTGGAGGTCAACCTTATGACCGGAGGAGGGGGGGGGTGGAGGTCAGAAAAGTGTGTGGGGGGGGGGTCAGATATATAGTGTTTTGTTGCATAAAACACAAAATAAAAATAATCCAAATGATTCATCATATTCCATTCATCTGGACAGTATGACTCTCGAGTCGTGATTCATCATTTAATGATCTGTGAAGAACAGGGATTTTATGATTCATCATATTTTTTATAATATTCTGTGTAATATTATTGTATAGATATGATGAGCACCGATGAGGAGTTCTTAGTCCCACACACCTGTCATTACTCTCCCCACACACCTGTCATTACTCTCCCCACACACCTGTCATCACTCCCCCACACACCTGTCATTACTCTCCCCACACACCTGTCATTACTCCTCCCTCACACCTGTCATTAATCTCCCCACACACCTGTCATTACTCTCCCCACACACCTGTCATTACTCCTCCCACACACCTGTCATTACTCTCCCCACACACCTGTCATTGCTCCCCCCTCACACCTGTCATCACTCTCCCCACACACCTGTCATTACTCTCCCCACACACCTGTCATTACTCTCCCCACACACCTGTCATTGCTCCCCCCTCACACCTGTCATCACTCCTCCCTCACACCTGTCATTACTCTCCCCACACACCTGTCATCACTCCCCCCACACACCTGTCATTACTCTCCCCACACACCTGTCATTACTCTCCCCACACACCTGTCATTACTCTCCCCACACAACTGTCATTACTCTCCCCACACACCTGTCATCACTCCTCCCTCACACCTGTCATTACTCTCCCCACACACCTGTCATTGCTCCCCCCTCACACCTGTCATCACTCCTCCCTCACACCTGTCATCACTCCTCCCTCACACCTGTCATCACTTTTCCCACACACCTGTCATCACTTTTCCCACACACCTGTCATCACTCATCCCTCACACCTGTCATCACTCCTCCCTCAAACCTGTCATCACTCATCCCTCACACCTGTCATCACTCCTCCCTCACACCTGTCATCACTTTTCCCACACACCTGTCATCACTTTTCCCACACACCTGTCATCACTCATCCCTCACACCTGTCATCACTCCCCCTCACACCTGTTATCACCCCTCCCTCACACCTGTCATCACTCCCCCCACACACCTGTCATTACTCTCCCCACACACCTGTCATCACTCCTCCCTCACACCTGTTATCACCCCTCCCTCACACCTGTCATCACTCCTCCCTCAAACCTGTCAGCACTCCCCCACACACCTGTCATCACTCCTCCCTCACACCTGTTATCACCCCTCCCACACTGTCGGAAAATCCGACACCATTTAATATATCATACAGATAATAGCTGTATTACCAACAAGTTACCCATAGAAAACGTAACTTGTAGTGGAATTACCGTCTATAGAAAACGGGATATCATCACCACATACTATTATAATTCACCAGCTATTCTGCTGGGAATTATTCTTAAATACATTAGTCTTTGGACTTTACCATCATAAAAACATCTTATATAAATTAACTTAATTATCAATATTAAAGTAGAGTAAATGTGACCCTTCTATCACGTTCTGAAATCTGGACAATGTAAGCCAGGCGTCAGAGTGGAGGAAGGAGGGCAGCCATTGTTGTTATACGAGACCAGAGGCTCACACGGGAGCAAATTCGGCTCCTGTTAAATTTACTTGGACGTAGTGTTATGGAACCCAAAGGTGTACCATTGTCAACACGCTGTCTACAAATACAAGTTAAGTGTCTATCCGAAACCCGTTTATCATTCATTTATGGCCATTAATGTCAGGATATAGGGTTAGCCGGTTAGAACGCGAAATCGCCTCATACTAAAGGTAATTAAGCCAGGTCTTTAATGTTCCATGTACTGTATAGTGTTTTCTCTGATATAGCTTGTCATATATAGGATTCTGGCTTCACAGCTAGCGCACTTTTGACAGGTCAAGACGAGGATGCAAGATTGTGCACCAGTTACTGGGTGATATGGAAGCTACCTCAAAGAGGATAATTTGGTGTCTACACCCTAGTTATACCTGGTGGACTAACCTGCTGTACTATAAGATAAGGAACCTCTTCAATGTTTAATAGTATGTAGTCTATTACTGTAGTTTGATTGGCTGCATATATATTAATTTAACCCCCCCTAATGTGTAGAGGATCGATTTGTGAGATTGAGATTATTGCAGAAATACAGTCCACTTAACATTATACAAATTGCTATCGAAGTATATAAATTAACGTAAATATAAATTCATATAAATTAAATAAATATAAATCTCACAGGTCGGTTCCCACATTATTTGGTCCTTCGAACCGGATGACGGATTATTTGATCCTATGAACCCACATTTGGTCATCTTAGTACCGGATGAACCAGTTAACCAAACCAGTGAATTCATTAAATATACTAATGCAGTGTTATTTAAACAAAGGCCAGCCAGTCAAAGACGGAAGCGTAGCCTCGAGGGAGCTCAGGAGCCTCCCTCAGTTCAGATCTGCCTCATCAGCGGTTTCATGCACACCCACAGAGATTTGGTGGCGTGTTATTTCGTGAAATGACAGCGCTAATATAGAATCCAGCCAAATTAGTGACTGTGTCTTCGCGATATTGTTCACGGATTTCGTGGTGTTACATTTCGCGAGAGATTATCTACGAATTTTGTGGACTTTATTTCGCGAGGTCACTAATAATATTTAATACTTCTAGATAATATTAGAAGTTTCATAGAGGCTAATTAAGAGGCTATTATCAATAATTGTGTATATTATTTCTCCAAAATAGAGAATTATTTAATATATATTGCACTAGTGATCACAATATAATATTTACTAATTGCCAACCCACAACAGGGTAGGATATTACCATTGACTAGTTGAACTATTATTGTTCATCCTAGTCCCATTATTACCATAGTCAGTTGTACTATATTGATCAACCTACACCATTAATGAATGGTCCACACCCTATTTTGGGTGTAATTTTTATCAACTCGAGTTGAGTTGTATATATAATAAATTACTTATGATCATTACACCTTTGAGTGATTAATTAGTGTCTCTACCATCCTGGGGTGATATAGAAGAGCTAACCTAAAGGTACTTCCAGTGACACTGGTTTATCACTCAAATCATTAGTGTGGATGATTGTATATATATAATGTGTATTAATTTTAAGTGCTAACCTCTAGTAGAGGTAGGATTATTGCCTAGTGAGTTCAGAATTTACCCTAGGCTACCATTAGTGTTTGTTCAGTATTATGAGCAGCCCAAGTACAAGCCCCACAAGGCTTCACCAACGAGCCAGTATGGATAATGCAGGGAGAATGAAAAGAACCCTTGCAGGTCTTAAAGGCCACTTAACAAGACAGATCAAGAAATGTGAAGATTTGTCACAACAATCTCAAGTTGATTATGCTGACCTGGAAAGCTATTATCAAGCAGCTGCAGGTAAATTTGAGCAAATCAAATGCCAAATAGCAACATATGTGGCTGAACTTGCCAACACCAATTTATCAGAAACAGAAATAGACGACATTATGGTTGATCTTGCGAATTATGAAGATCACACTCAGGCCACGTTACAGCCTTATGTCAAATTAATTGCCCAGAACAAGGCAACAGCAACAACAACAACAGTTGCATCTAATACGAGTCAAGCAGAAGCTCGACTCCCTCCAATTAATTTACCCACTTTCTCAGGAAAAGATGAGGAAGATTGGGACGAATTTTGGAACAAATTCGTTGACCTTGTAGACTCAAAACAATCTTTACCAAAGAGTAGTAAATTCTCTTATTTGCAAGGCCAATTATCAGGTGAGGCTAAAACAGTAGTATCCCATCTGAGATTAACTAATGACGGCTATGATCTGGCAGTAAAACTCCTCAAGGATAATTATGCTGATCCAGAAGTAAGAACATCACATTTAGTTCATGAGCTGTTGCATTTACCCCCACCGGAGGCTTCAGCTGATTCACTCCAAGTCTTCAAGCTGGAGGTAGAATCATTGATCAATGCCCTCAGCCTGACAGCAGATACAAACGGGGCTGAGTGGGTCTTGAAAATAATTGTCCAGGAGAAAATACCTAGGGACATATTGAGACAAATGAGTGCTCATTACAATAAAAGTATCTTATCCATGAATGAAATATCTGAAGGTTTAAAGTCAGTAGTTCATCAATTACGAACACATGACAAATTAAAACCACCAAGTAAACCCTCAGAAACCAATAATAGTAAACCACAGAGTACCAAAGGTACTCCAAATCAATCTAGACAATATAATTCAACACCAAAGTGGAACAGTAGCAGTGTGGGCGTATATGCAGTGGGACCCTCCAAGCCTATAGTTACTGTGTCACCCAAGAACGTGACACCAAAGGGTACTGGAAGCTATGGAACATGTTTGTTCTGCAATGAGAAACATTCAATGTACCACTGCTCTAATTTTCCTGATAGTGACGCCCGTGTTGAGCGACTCAAAGATTTGCAACATTGCACGAGGTGCCTCAGGAAACATAACATCAAGGACTGTGATACCCAATTACACACCTGTAATAGGTGTAACAAAGGTCAGCACCATGCAGCATTGTGCAGAGACACCAAAACAACGTCTCCAAACCCCAAGGTGGAAGATAGCATTCCCACCACAGTACAGTACTGCAAGGTGCAACAAACAAAGAGTGTCCAATCGGCAAAGTCTAAAGGTAATACGACTTTGCCTACTGCCCAAATTACCATCCTGAATAAGAGGGCCAAGGTCCATACCCGTGGGTTGTTTGACCAAGGATCCCAGAGAACATATATCACTAAAAAGTTGGCAGATGAATTACAATTAAGGCCTGTAGCCCAGATGTCATTCAACATCTCAGGGTTTGTAACAGATGCAGGACCTCAAGTCTACCAGGTGGTACAACCATCAGTACGCTTAGGCAGGTACGTCTGTCGAGTACAAGCCATTGTGGTGGACAAAATACCAGTAGACCTACAAGTTCAAGGTCTGAGAGCAACAGCCAAATTCCTGAGAAATAGAGGAATAAAATTGGCAGATAATATTAAGTCTGATCACCTCACTGACTTCGGTCTCCTTGTTGGGACAGACTATTGCCATCGATTCATCGGTAGCCCTACTAAATATCAGGGTATAACCATGTTAAACTCTGCAGGAGGTAAATTACTCTCAGGCCCAGTATCAAGCCTGAGGAGACCTATGCCTGCAGATAAACAATACCAGTAGAAATCTAAATTTGTCAGCTGATTATATTTCTCCAGTAGCATTATACTAAGGAGATTACAGCTGACTATAGTAACAGAGGTTGATGTTAGTATCATCATTTAAAGCTGGAGATGAGTTCATGAGGCCTCAGTGGCAAATCAGTGAACAGTAGCCTAAAACAGCTACAAGTCACTGCGACCAATGTCACTGAACCCACTGCAGTCTCAGAACCATACTTTACTTTAATGATGAGCTATTCAATCTTCTGAATCAATTAACTAAATTAAACCCCAATAAATCTGATGACTGATTTGATACATTTATTATTTAATCAAGATGTATTCCATGGGCCTCAGTGTTTATATATCAGTGACCAGTTACCTGAAGAAACTTCAAGTTATATCTAATGTCACTGATCTCACTGCAGTCCCTGAATCATACTTGACTGTAGTACTTGATCACATTCAGTCTTCTGGGTTAAATAATATGTAATAAGGCTTGAATATTAGCCTTTCAAGAGTTGACAGGGAAATGAAATCGCATTAGACTTCTAACCCCTGCAACTCTAGTACGGGACATCCGTCCTGTACGAACAGACACACAAATGTGTGATTACTAACTACTAACATCAAATTAATCTAATAATTCGAAGGAGGAGTATCGGTGTTCGTCTGTTCTAAATAGGACTTCGACCCGTGAGCAGCCCCCTGGGGAATTATGTCGGAAAATCCGACACCATTTAATATATCATACAGATAATAGCTGTATTACCAACAAGTTACCCATAGAAAACGTAACTTGTAGTGGAATTACCGTCTATAGAAAACGGGATATCATCACCACATACTATTATAATTCACCAGCTATTCTGCTGGGAATTGTTCTTAAATACATTAGTCTTTGGACTTTACCATCATAAAAACATCTTATATAAATTAACTTAATTATCAATATTAAAGTAGAGTAAATGTGACCCTTCTATCACGTTCTGAAATCTGGACAATGTAAGCCAGGCGTCAGAGTGGAGGAAGGAGGGCAGCCATTGTTGTTATACGAGACCAGAGGCTCACACGGGAGCAAATTCGGCTCCTGTTAAATTTACTTGGACGTAGTGTTATGGAACCCAAAGGTGTACCATTGTCAACACGCTGTCTACAAATACAAGTTAAGTGTCTATCCGAAACCCGTTTATCATTCATTTATGGCCATTAATGTCAGGATATAGGGTTAGCCGGTTAGAACGCGAAATCGCCTCATACTAAAGGTAATTAAGCCAGGTCTTTAATGTTCCATGTACTGTATAGTGTTTTCTCTGATATAGCTTGTCATATATAGGATTCTGGCTTCACAGCTAGCGCACTTTTGACAGGTCAAGACGAGGATGCAAGATTGTGCACCAGTTACTGGGTGATATGGAAGCTACCTCAAAGAGGATAATTTGGTGTCTACACCCTAGTTATACCTGGTGGACTAACCTGCTGTACTATAAGATAAGGAACCTCTTCAATGTTTAATAGTATGTAGTCTATTACTGTAGTTTGATTGGCTGCATATATATTAATTTAACCCCCCCTAATGTGTAGAGGATCGATTTGTGAGATTGAGATTATTGCAGAAATACAGTCCACTTAACATTATACAAATTGCTATCGAAGTATATAAATTAACGTAAATATAAATTCATATAAATTAAATAAATATAAATCTCACAGGTCGGTTCCCACAGTGCTCGCCCGCAGCGCCCGGGTCTCCTCCTCCCCCACCCTGAATCAACGAAGCCTATTAATATCTCTTGGAAAGCATTTAGAACAACTTCATTTTTAACATGACACCGTTAGCCAGCACGGTTTTTGTTTTTATTATAGTCTACCTTATCCAGCTAAACTGAACTTATCGTTATCTAACTTAACCCAACTTAACGCAGCCTAACTTAACCATACTTTATCAATCCCAACATAATCTAATCTAACCTAACTTAGCCTTACTTAACGAAATATATCCAGGAATGGTTGAATGCACGAGAATATATCTTTCACGAGTTCGAGTCTTCCTCAAAACTATAGAATTAATTGTTATATTCGTCTCGTTGTAAGCTTAGAGAGTGTTGAGTCGTGTCAGTTATAATATTTATACCTTGTAATATACTTTTGTTTGTTGGCATCTCTCGCTATCAAGATAGATATATGTATATAAGAAGGGGGAGCACTTCCTCTCACGCGTCAGATGTAAATTTAAGCTCCGGATGGACCACTGTTTGCCCAGGAGTGGAATAGATAAAAGCATGGACTGCTTTTTATCCTCATTCAATGACTCCAATGATATAAATATATTTCATTCATTTTTGCTACAGGAGCCTCGAACTACCAAAGCGGCAGCCAGTAGCTGTAACCATCACGCTACTAAACACCCACAATAAAGGAGGATCTCAAACACACGCAACTTTTATTTAACTGAGACTTCCGGCCTCTCCTGGGGTGCCACCGAAGGAATTAGGTGATCCAGGCCCAAGTCGTGTAAACTGCTAACCCCGTTTATCCATCCATGAGCGGGGCGGGGTCGTCCCCATTTCTCCCACTAAAAGCTGTGTAGCTCCCATATCGAACCCCATGAAACAGGTGGAGATGAAATGTGGCTAGCCGGTTTTCTAGAATGTCATTACTTTATGCCACCTTGTAATATATAAATAAATAAATAAATAAATAAATAAATATGTTTATTCAGGTAAGGTATATACATACAAGTGATGTTACATTAATGGATTGATATATAGATAGAGCTAGTACATACAATGCCTAAAGCCACTATTACGCAATGCGTTTCGGACAAGAAAAACATTAATATCTAGAACTTAATACTAATTGAGCATAAAGAATAAAAAGTGTTGAGAACAAATACAAATAAAGATAAAAAAAAGAGGGAACATGACTGAAAAAGCAGCACAAATACAATAGGTTGACAAACAGTGTTGATTAAAAAAAAAGAAAATAACATATGTATGTACTTGAGACCGGGTCGCCTCATGGCGCAACCTATAGCGAAGTGGATGGAGGCGATAAAGAGAAGAGGCACGATGTGTGGCGGTCGAGGAGTGCAGAGAAGCGCCAGCTCTTGTGCTCGTTAGGTGGAGGTTAATGTAATATTTTTGTAATGGTCGTCGGGAATAGCCAGGTGTGGTAGCCACATGGTGGAAAGCGGACTATGCTAGTCGATTACAGTGGTCGTCGAGTAGCGCCATATGTGGATCTAAATAGAAGGAGGAAATAATCTCTACTGACGCCGTTGACTCTTAATAAGATGGGTGCAATTGTTATGCAGAACAAAGTCTATAAATATTTTTGCTCTAAACTTCTCGTTAAATATTTTCAGTACCCAAAGCTTGGTTTGTTATGGTTACAAGATATACACGCACACGGTACTATATTAGTGAAATTATTGGGTCGCCTAAAAATATACTTATACCAATAAGTGGAAATATCTATAATAAAATTACAAGTATATCGCCAAGGAACTTTTTTTTACCCATTTCCATCAACTTGAAAAATCTGGACCATTTTCTTTTATATTGTGAGACGTTGCACTCCCAGGCTTCGTCCCAACGTCTACGACACTGCTGTATCCAAGACTACAACGTCTGCGACACTGCTGTATCCAGGACTACAACGTCTGCGACACTGCTGTATCCAGGACTACAACGTCTACGACACTGCTGTATCCAAGACTACTAAATAAATATGAAAACCCACTAAACACCGTGTATCTAATCTACTCAATAACATAACACCGTCCCCCCATCCTGTGGGCAGCAGTATATAGGTTACAATCAGCTACATTTACTACGTAGTTAGCAAACTGCGTATATTTGGCTAAAATATCTTGTAGTAGATAATTTTGAATGTCTATGCTGAAACACGATTCTGCAATATACAAGACTGAGATTGTGGATGCAGATAACCTTAAACTGTGAAGACGTGAGAAACTGCACACCCATAATTATGTTTCATGCAGTAAATTTTGGTAAGTTATTCAATTAATATTATAGCATTTTTTTATTAAACACATGCAGTGATGATATCTATACGACACGTCAGATAATGTGTGCTTTGGATATCTTATCTTCTGACAGGTTATTGTGACTCGTCCTCTGCACGTAATGATAATATTAATAAAATCATTAAATCGTGAAGTGTAATCAATATATTATAATGTATTACCCTGAACACAGTATGAGTAGGTACTTAAAAATATTGGGATACTTTTATTACAAATGAATTGGCTACTGTTAGTGGTTGAGAAGGCGAGGTGAGGCGCGGGCGGTGTGAGGCAGCAGCAGACTTCAGCTGCCACCACCGCCACCCTGCAGGCTCCCTCACTCACCTCTATCTTACCAGGATATTACACGGTAAGTTACACTCTCTTACTCGTATATGTAATACATACTGCAAGACTAATACCTAGACCAACTGCAGTTGTTACGTCAGTATGTGTGTGATGGATTATACGTACAAACGGTTAATATTGTCGCAGATCCAGCCATGTCCAGCGCTGATACACCACTCCACTCCGACGTCACGGCCTCCAGTACACTGGACCAGTGGAGCGCAGCCTTTCTTGATTTCCTTCACGATTCCAACTATCAGGACGTTCAGATGAAGATCCACAACGTTAACAATATTTATAACTTACTGTTCAAGCCACAGAGTAGGAACAGTGGGCTGGGTCCGCCCCCGCCGGCCCCCGCCCTCCTGCACCACATGATAGAAAACGGTGCCCTGGCCCTCCACGGTGAACTCATAAGCGTCGCCTCCAAATATTAAACATTTTTATTTTACATAAGTCTTAGCCGAATGTCCCCAGTTTCCTAAGTGTAGGTAGTAACTAAGTAATTGTAACCTATCCACTGCTGCCACTAGAAGGGGGAGGGGGGGCGGTGTGCAGGACAAACATATCAATTGTGACACTAGTTCTCCACATATGTCAGTTGCGTTATTTAGGAACTGTATTTGTGGTCGATCTCTAGCCCATTGATGATGTGACGATGTACATTGAATGTTGTAACTACCTCATCAAGATTGTAACTTGCTTAGTTAAATAAATTGTGGGGTTCAGTCCCTGAGCCCATTATGTGCCTCTGTAACCCTTTCCCCTGCCGCCCACAAGGTGGGTACGGGGTGCATACCCCATACCCACCTTGTATGGGGTATGCACTACAAAAACTACTATGTAAACAGAAGGATGGGTTGTAGGACTGCTCATCACATGTTCTGAGCCCTGCTGTTCTTCCTGAGGATGCTCCGATCTGCACTACAATATGTGTTTGGTACATCACCACCTATTATCCCACTGCACAAGGTTGTCTGCACGCTGCCTGCACCTGACACCTAACCCTGCTGCTTGTCATTCACCCGGGGAACAATGACAGTGGCACCAACTTCAACCAGTAGGTTGTCACGATTCTTCCACAGCTCACTCGACCACGAGGCTTCATAATGTATTCACCTAGTTGTGCCTGCGGGGGTTGAGCTCTGGTTCTTTAGACCCACCTCTCAACTGTCATCAATCAACGGATTTTTGTTCTCCACACACACACACACACACAGGAAGCAGCCCGTAGCAGCTGTCTAACTCCCAGATACCTATTTACTGCTAGGTGAACAGGGACATTAGGGTTAAAGAAAAAACTGCCTGTTTGTTTCCGCCATCGCTGGGGATCGGCCTCTGGTCCATAGGATTACGAGTCCCGAGCGCTGTCCACTCGGCCGTCAGGCCCCTAGGAGGGAGGAGAAATGTGGGAGGAGTAATGAAGGCCGTGTCGTCAGCAAATAGAATTGGTTTGAGATGTTGGGAGGCATTTGGGAGGTCATTAATGTAGATGAGAAAGAGGAGAGGGCCAACTAGTATGCTGCCCTGAGGAACACCAATGTTGATGGGTAGGGTGGGAGAAATTGAATTAATCACAGAAACATACTGGAGTCTGTCAGTAAGGTAAGATTTGAGGTACTGCAGGGAGTGACCTCTGACTCCATAATGTTGTAATTTAAGAAGGTTTTGGTGGTTGAGTGTCAAAAGCCTTACGCAGGTCCACAAATAACCCAATAGGGAACTCATTTTTATCAAGAGCTGCATGTTTTTACAAAATTTGAAAATATCCTGAGTTATTTTACAATTTATTGAAATATTTTAGTTTTGTTTTATTAGTTTTATAAAACTTTAATATAAATATATAGCTATAGGTTAAATACTAATTGTATTTAAGAAGCAATAAAACGCTTGTCCTCATTCACTAAGAAGGTTAGGTTAGGTCGTGGTTTTCTATTCAGCTTTTCAGGTAAACTCAAATATTCACAATATATTTGACAGTACGGTTTGATACTAAGTGAAAATAAGTACAATTCCTGACTGCTAGGAATAGTACTTGTGCAAGTGTACAATTACACTTACTTGTGCTGTTACATTTACCTCCCCATATTCGAAGGATGGGCTGAACAATGTACCCTCTGGTCCTCATTTACGTCTGAGGCTGAGGCCTTGTCATAAAACTCTAGTACTTTGTATAGTACTTTGGTACTGTTTAGGTGTGCAAATGCCAGTGACATACTAGCTTCAAAAGTTATTAATTTTGCACTCACCTAATTGTGCTTGCGGGGGTTGAGCTCTGGCTCTTTGGTCCCACCTCTCAACCATCAATCAACTGATGTACAGGTTCCTGAGCCTATTGGGATCTATCATATCTACACTTGAAAATGTGTATGGAGTCAGCCTCCACCACATCACTTCCTAATGCATTCCATTTGTCAACCACTCTGACACTAAAAAAGTTCTTTCTAATATCTGTGGCTCATTTGGGCACTCAGTTTCCACCTTTGTTCCCTTGTGCGTGTTCCCCTTGTGTTAAATTGCTTGTCTTTATCTACCCTATCAATTCATTTCAGAATATTGTATGTGGTGATCATGTCCCCCCCCATTACTCTTGTCTTCCAGTGACATGAGGGTTAATTCCCGTAGTCTCAACTCGTAGCTCATACCCCTCAGTTCGGATACTAGTCTGGTGGCAAACCTTTGAACCTTTTCCAGTTTAGTCTTATGCTTGACTAGATATGGACTCCATGCTGGTGCTGCATACTCCAGGATTGGTCTGACATATGTGGTATACGAAGTTCTGAATGATTCCTTACACAAGTTTCTGAAGGCCGTTCTTATGCTGGCCAACCTGGCATATGCCGCTGATGTTATCCTCTTGATAAGAGCTTCAGGAGACAGGTCTGGTGTGATATCAACCCCCCCAAATCTTTCTCTCTAACTTTTGTGTGCTCATGTTAGTGCTGAAGTTATGTTCACTAGTATGTAGTAAGTCCATTCCTGTAGTTTCCTGTCCATCTCATTATGGTGTAGATTCCTTCCAATCGCCTGTTCCCATTTCCTTACTGTTGCTGAGGTTAACTCCAGCATCCATTTATCTGCACATTCCTGTAGTCTGTCAAGGTCTTTTTGCAGCATGTTTCAGTCCTCCTTAGCTTTAAGTCACCTGCAAACATTGCCTTATCACACACACATCCCTCTGGCAGGGCATTCACACATTATCATCAGCATCAAGCTCATGATAAAAAATCTACAACAGTTACTCTGTTCCTTAATCCAGTTCATTTTTTTCAGTTATCTCAGCTTGCCTTTTCATACTTATAGGAGCAGTGTCACCAAAGTGTTTTGAGGCTATAGGAAAACAATTTGCCCAGGGAGACGGTCGGCCGAGCGGACAGCACGCTGGACTTGTGATCCTGTGGTCCTGGGTTCGATCCCAGGCGCCGGCGAGAAACATTGGGCAAAGTTTCTTTCACCCTATGCCCCTGTTACCTAGCAGTAAAATAGGTACCTGGGTGTTAGTCAGCTGTCACGGGCTGCTTCCTGGGGGTGGAGGCCTGGTCGAGGACCGGGCCGCGAGGAAACTAAAAAGCCCCGAAATCATCTCAAGATAACCTCAAGAAGATAGCCTTCTTGCTCCTGCTGTAAGACTATAAAGTTTGTCAGGCATGACGTTTCCCTTCTGAAGCCACATCCTCTCCATTACAATGTCTGTCCTCTCTCCACATGGGGTAAATATGCTCGATTTGTGGCTTTCAGCCTAGCACTGGGTGCTCTACCACTCTCTTCTCGAGTGCTTTCTCAGTGGTCGTCTGCACTATCATCTTCACTCAGCATTACAATGACAATGGATAATGTTTTGAATTTTGTTATCCTTCATTGGACCAGATCTTCAAAAAATTTTATATTTTCTTATTTTTATACACTTCAGATGCAAATTTCTATATCCACACATTTTTGTTCATTTCAGTGACCGATTCACTTGATAATGCCCCCTTACTCACTTGCTAAGCAACAATGGTATTTCTGCAATAAATATTTAAACTGCTCCAACAGTTAACACATTCCAGACATTTAAAGTATATAGAAAATTCATATAAAATTATTAATTAAAAGGAAAATTTGAATTGCCAATAAATATTAACTTATATTTTATTGACAACTATATACAGTCTTTCAGTCTGACAACAGACAATATTTGAGAATAAATTTTTTAAAACATACAATTAATATACTGTACAAATGTTATAGTATTTTAACCCTTGTCCACAAAGGTCAAGCCAAAACTGGAAAATTTTGATGAATTCTGTTCACCACAGTTCATCACTACAGAAAATTCCCACAAGAAAATTACTAATGTACAAAACTCACCGGTGTCTTCATTGAAGAAACTTAAAATTCTTCACTGGACTATATTTATACCTCAAATTAGCATGTCTGAACAAGATGCTCAGGTTGCCCATCAGATAAAATAATACTTTAACCAATTTAAATGTGGCTAACAAAATATTAACCTCATTACTATAGAAACACCAACACAATTTTCTCCAAAGTGATGCATAGTTTATAAATTCCTTTCACCAACTAGAAACTAACTTCTGTAACAAACATTTAAGTATTTTTCAACAAATTTTGCTTTTCAGGTTATAGGGTTAACTTTAGAAATTATAAAATTCTCAAGTCTTTACTTCAACAACATAAGTTGTTGAAGTACAAGAATAAGTTAACTAACTTGCATTTGAATATACAGTAACTACAAACCTACAAGCCAGCACTCTCTAAAAGATCACTGGGTAAGTTAACTAACTTGGAGAGAAAAAAAAATAGGCTTATGTACAATGTGATATTTCTTTTATTAATTTCCAGCTGCTACCTCTTTCATGCGATTTAGAGCAGAGCCAGCCTTAAACCAGGAAATTTGCTGCTCATTACACGAGTGATTTAGTCTAATAGTTTCTGTTGAGCCATCAGGATGTCTGATACGACACTCGACAGGCTGAAAAAAGAGACCAACAATTAATACTTTACCAAACATTTCTAATTATCGGGTATATAATACAAGTGTTGTGTATTATATACCCGATATACATATGCATTGCTTTACTGGAATACACACATACCTTGTGATGATTTCGGGACTCAACATTCCTGTCGCCCAGTCTCCGACCAGGCCTTCAGGTCACCCCCCATTCTTCAAAATCCATCAAGCTTTCTCTACATATATCGACACATTTAACTAACACTCTACTCTCATATCTCATCTTGTGTGGAAATTTTTACATCTTTACAAAACCATTATGTGATTTGCATACATTTCTCAAGAAATTCAGTCTTCGTAACCATTCTATACACATTAATCCCTCAACAAGGTCATCAAGCAATGTAATTTAGAAGGGTCTGCAAGACATGCACACTTAACTGTTCTTTGTATTATAGTTTACTGGGTGACAATCCTAAACTGTAGCCTCTGTTTACCCAACAGTAAAATGGGTACCTGGTTGTTAAGCGATTTGGCAAGGTCGTATTCCGGGGGAATATTAGGATTAAGGACTTGCCCAAAATGCTATGCGTGCTAGTGCCTGTACAAGAATGTAAGAACTCTTGTATATATAAATAAATAGTATTTCATTCCTCTTCCTGCAAATCTGAATCTTGCCACATAAGAGTAATTTCTCACTCGTGCATCTATCCCATTCTTCTTACAATATACATCTTTCCTTCAGACACAGAAAATATCATCATGATCAGTCATACAACTCACTTGCACTGCTGTCATATGCCAAAATTTATTCCACTTTATAATGCTCTCCATCATACTGCAAGGCAACATTTATGTTCACTTATCACTCTACCTTCCCTGTGTCAAACACCTGTGCAACACACAAATATTACTATACCACTACAGTACTACAATGAAGCAGTTACATGTTGTTTCACTAAATGTCTCATAATATTTAAACTGTTGCCAAATTATGCAAGGCACCAAAAAGCAGAAAATATATATGAAATGATAAAAGAAAAATACTATACAAATAATTTACAATGTGGTCTCACTGATAAAGGTACAGTATTGTAATCTTGGCTTTAAAAAGTTTATAATTACATCATACCAACCTTTCCAGGAGCAAAATTTGCTAATCCAAGCAGGGAAATTTTGTCATCAGGACGAATCTTGTCATAGTCAGCTGGGTCAGCAAATGTGAGTGGCAACATGCCTTGTTTCTTCAGATTGGTTTCATGAATACGGGCAAAAGACTTGACAATAATTGCACGACCTCCCAGGTGACGAGGCTCAAGAGCAGCATGCTCTCGAGAGCTTCCTTCACCTGAGAATTACGGGTATTAATGTTTAAAATTATTTATCTTGAGCAGTAAGGCTAGTTTGCTAGTCAAGTACAGAAACAAAGTAGGTAAATGTCTCCATGTTACGACAAACTTTAACCACTGCACTGAGCAACGAGCCTTGAGGCTCTCAACGGGTGGTGCACAACGCTCCTCAGGGATCTTATAGGTATAGGCTATCATTCAAAACTCCCGCGGCTACACAGGGTTCACATCAGCTTCCTCAGGGCTCTCCTAAACAGACGGAATTTAAAAAAAATCGTGGGCAACATTCTTGGGTGTGAAGGCCTCAGTACTGAGTGAGCAACCAAGGTTGGCACACGCAAAATGAGCTAACAGCATTGCTGTTCAGTTTTTGATCACATCTTCACCTAAAATTTTCCAAACATATATGTATCTGGTATTATTTAGCCATGATAGTATTACAGAAGAGCCTGACTGTGATAATGACTGTTTACAATATTCCCATTTTACAATATTTACAATATAACGTGTGTATATATATATCAGTGAATCAATGCTGTTCAAGATGAACAAATCCACAAGGGCCGTGACGAGGATTCGAACCTATGTCTGAGAGCATCCCAGACACTGCCTTAATCGACCGAGCTATGAGAATTAAGGCAGCGCCTGGGGTGCTCTCGGACGTAGGTTCGAATCCTCGTCACAGCCTTTGTGGATTTGTTCATTTGATGCATCACGCAATTGTAATTTCTGTCTGCACTGTTCAAGATGTTCACAGTGCTAGCCACAGCACACTGCCATTATTTTGTCCATCTAAAATGCTTCAGATGCTTTCTCATGTTCCTTTACAAAATACACGTGGAAAATTAATCATTTACATGATTTAGTGACCAGGATTCTGATAATAGCAGGATTGTGGTGAGAATTAACAATGTGAATTAGAGGTGGGAGGAGTACTGTTGGCAAGGGAGGGAAAGTAAAGGGGGGGGGGGAGAGGGAGAGGTGGCATCATCTGCTGGCTGGTGTGTGGCAACATGTTATTGTCTGTAATCACCATACCAGCTTAGTGGTTCGCCATGGTAAACACAAATGTGTGTGTGTGTGTGTGTGTGTGTGTATATGTGTGTATGTGTGTGTGTGTGTGTGTGTGGCCATTTAGGTGAGGGAGTGTGTGATGTAGTCTGTTGTGTGACTTGTCATGCAGTGACCACTATGCTGTTTGGCCACCATACCAGCTTATTAGTATAGTTATGGTGAATAAAACATGTAGATACAGTACTTATATATATAACATGTGTGTATATAGTGTAATAACACCACAAACAGTATTGCGGGAGGAGTAATTTTGGCGAGTTAGGTGTTGAAGGAGTGAGGGGAGGGCTGGCTGGGTGTGTGGCAGCCCACTCTTTGTTTATTGAGCTCACCATACCAACTTATTGGTTCGCTATGGAGAACACATATGTAGATAGGTATATACAATGTGTGTGTATATAGTGTAATAACAGCAAAAACACTGTTTGATTGATCGTAGAATATAATGTACATGTCACATATATGAGCCCCATAATTTTGAGCATAGCAATGTTCCACACATTGAACTATATAAATTCCACATATTACACACTTTTGAATAATATTACAGCATAAAACCAGAGAAGAAACAAATGAGAAACATCAAAATAATTGTGAAACATTATATTCGCGGCAACTGCTGCCCCACAGGGTGGCGAGGCCTAGTGACCTTGAGCGCTCCATCGCTCACTGCCCATAATATGCTCAACTTCCCAGCTCCATTGCAGCTAAAGTATGCCACATACAATATTTATTTTTAGTTTCCCGTGATCAGAGACTGCATTTTAACAATATAAAGAAGAGAAAAAATTTTGTTGGAAAGAATTTATTTTCGTCACACCACAAGTGTGTTGTATTTTAATTAATGCAGAGCAGTGCAGTTGTTAAACAGGTACATTCACACTGCTTAACAATCAACATTATGGTAACACGTTTAATATTCTAAAGGATCTTTCTGAGAAAACAAAGGAAGGAATTATCAGGAGAAAGCACCAAGTCATTACGACTACATAGCACTGAGAAGATGTCAGGATAAGGATTTGGGGTGAGACGAGGAGGAAAGATTGGTGCCCCACTAACGGAGAAAACAAAACTTGATGCTAGTTTGAAATAGGATCTTCCAGTTAAAAAAATACTTCTGAAGAAATAAAATACTTGGTTGACTCAACCAACCAGGGAAAAAATAGTAATAAATTATATAACAGAGTGCCACAACCCAAATGCAACATAATAGTTGCACAATTTTAAATTTGGACAGTTATCCAATATGCTGTACTAACAGCATACAAAGTCAATTTATAAACTAATGAAAAACAATGCAAGTGTTAAACTTACCATAGTTGTCATCACCAATGACACACCAGGTGATGCCACTGGCTTTATATGCCCGAGCAGTGGCAGGTACAGGGCCCCATTCCCCTGTTGCCTTGTTCTGTATATTATTCATTTCACCATTCTCAGCATTGACAGCAGTAAGGAACATGTTGTTTGAGATGTTGTCCAAGTGGCCACGGAACTTGAGCCATGGCCCAGCAGCAGAAATATGATCTGTTGTACATTTGCCCTTGACCTGTTGATAAACTTACCAATTACCTTTCTAAAATTTAAAATAGCAAAATAGTTCATGAGCAAACATCGACAGCACCACATGCGGTACCAATAATGCATAGTACTAAACATATTACAGATTCAAGTACAAAAATAGCTACAGACAAAAAACTCCTGCAATAAATTTAAATATGATCTATGTAATTGACATTTTTAGGTCAAAAGAATAACTGCCTGTCTCACCCAGGATAATGAACACTTAACAAATTCATGAACTTCAGACAATGAGTGCAGGTCCTTGCATGTATACACATAATACAGTAGTAAACCTATAATAGATATGTTCAAGAATGGAAGGCTACACATTAGATGTGTGAGAAGCAAATGTTAAAAGGTGTGGGACCCGAATGCTAAATTACACTAAAGGCACAAACCCTATATTTATCTCGCATGGGAGCCGGTCGGCCGAGCGGCCAGCACGCTGGACTTGTGATCCTGTGGTCCTGGGTTCGATCCCAGGCGCCGGCGAGAAACAATGGGCAGAGTTTCTTTCACGCTATGCCCCTGTTACCTAGCAGTAAAATAGGTACCTGGGTGTTAGTCAGCTGTCACGGGCTGCTTCCTGAGGGTGGACGCCTGGTCGAGGACTGGGCCGCGGGGACACCAAAAAGCCCCGAAATCATCTCAAGATGACCTCAAGATATCTCTGGCCATTTGTTTTTCTGGGAACTGCACTTCATGACCTCTGGTTAAGTGATCATCAGCAGGGTAATAACTGTATAACTAGTAGCTACCAGAATATCATTGTCCTTCAGGTGTCATGTCACTTGCCCAACCCCAATTGGATCTGACTTATGTTCTAAGGTCAGAGTGGCCATTGGATTCTTCATTGTGATCCAAAACAATGAAGAATTAACGAGGCACAGACACCAATCACTACTGAAGCAGCAGGGTCAGTAAAACCATAGAGAGGAAGAGAGGCAGGTTGGGGGTTGTATGGAAGTGTGCGTGTGCCCACACTTGTGTATGGATGTGATGCCCAGGAGCAGAAAAAAATCAAGAGGTACAGATATTGAAAAGAGCAATCTAAAATGAATTTGTGGTGTTGGTTCCCAGTGTTGGGGACAAGAAACATATTAGGCTTATTAAGATACCCCGGGACAATGATGCCTTTCACCCACACCACCCACAACAGTGGCCTAATTCGCAGGTACTTATTTAAAAAAAACAATGAATAATTCACAAGAGTGGAGAGTTTATGAAGATATTTTGGTGAGAAGTATTGACTGAATGAATAATGATAATAAGGGATCATAAGAAGAGAATAATAAGGGAGCCGGTCGGCCGAGCGGACAGCACGCTGAACTTGTGATCCTGTGGTCCTGGGTTCGATCCCAGGCGCCAGCGAGAAACAATGGGCAGAGTTTCTATCACCCTATGCCCCTGTTACCTAGCAGTAAAATAGGTACCTGGGTGTTAGTCAGCTGTCACGGGCTGCTTCCTGGGGGTGGAGGCCTGGTCGAGGACCGGGCCGCGGGAACACTAAAAAAAGCCCCGAAATCATCTCAAGATAACCTCAAGATGATAAGAGTTCAAGTAAATTTTATAGTTGAAGAGGAAGGCCACGAAGATGGACACACATCACACAGATGGACAAGGAAGAGTCATGACCTGCGAATGGGAGCGTCCTCTGGGGTCCTCAGCATCTCCAGGTCGAGCCCATAGGTCGAGATATCTAGAAACTTTCTTCTAATTTACTCATCAAATTTCATATTCTAAATTATATATTTAAAAATTAATAATAAGGAAGAGTCATGGTCAGTGTGTGGGGTCACCCGCTAGGGTCATGACGGTCGTCAGGTCTACCCCAGGTAGCACGGAATCGTACTCATTATATGACAAAGAGTGCTGGGGAGACGGGACACCACGAGCGTAGCTCTCATCCTGTAACTACACTTAGGTAATTACATACATCGTGATAATGTGAAAAAGTAGAGGTTAATTAAGTGGTAGAAAATAAGACATGACGTAATAAGTTTTAAAAAGAGTGAATAGTTCACATTTTTAAGTGACAACTCACAAGAAGCATTTTATACATGGTTGTATTAAAGAGTAAGGGTACTGCAGATTTATTACTGGAGTGTGAAGGTGCTGATGGCGTGATAATATGGTGTTTACACTTGTGTGCAAGATGTGTACTATTTTTATACTATATTCTTTTCATATTTGCAGTCCTATTTCTTCTGGGCTGATGTTTCCATTTTCATGTTAAGAGGGAATCAGAATAAGCTGCATTTAAACAAAGGAGGACTGTATTTTGCACTGACATAGTGGAATGAGTTTCACATTTGTTTGCAAGAAGTCAAAGTATATATGAAGGCCTGAGGTTGCCCACTTGGGACACCAGGCCTCTCTCTCCCTGTTGAGTATTCGTAGCTTAGAACACACCTACCAACTGGATAACATTATTCACACAAATAAAAATGTTTTGAAAACCAGGTAGTTGGTTGGATCAAATAAATAGAGGTCAATCAACTCTAGTCTTAATTGATCATAACAGTAATGATAGCAAGAGAAAAGCCTTAAACATCTGCGATTAGTTAATTTGAACAATCCACCTTAATCACTAGCCAAGAAGTTTGTCACCATAATTATCACCATATCCCCAATGCGTGGGGTAGATAGGCATCCACTTGAAGGAATAGAAAAGCAATACTGATAAGCAATAAAGCAAAAATAAAAGATACCTAGAAAAGACGCTACATTCATTCACACTGTATACTGCACATCTCTCAGAATCAGTGTTGCTGCACTACACCACAACCTCAACAGCATCATCATACCACTTTATACAACCTGGTGAGAAGTCTCCTCCCCAATAACAAAAATTAACAGGAACAAGGTAGCAACTTCAACATCATTTAATGCTTCATAGGCAGCCAAGATCTAAGTGTTTAACATTCACTGATCCTGTCTCTGAATATGAAAAATTACATTTGATTCATCATTTCTTGAGGGGGGCAAAAATAAGTGCAATAGTACCTTTATGAGAATAGTCATTTCTTCCAGGTCCTTGCCATTCCATTTATCAAAGGGGGAAAGCAGCTGCAGTCGTTGAGACTCGGGACTCACATCAACTGATACACTTGAGCCATCACTTGGAGGTGCCTGAAACATTCCCCACCAGTACTTCAACATTTTGTAATAGAATAAGGCATTTCCATTTAACAAATAAAGGTATGAAGTCAGTATTATCCAAAATAACTGCTGACCTGATAGGTGTCCTCTCCGGGATCAAACCCACGGGATGGCAACTCGTCAGCAAAAGGAGTACTGAGCTTGAATTCTTTTCCATCACTACCAATCTAAAAAACAAAACACAAATACACGTATAGATTAAAACCATAAACAAACAGAGCACTATCTGTATATAAACTCATTTATAATGGCCACAAAAGAAATTAAATTAAATGATTTACCAATGTGCTCCGACGTGGATCAAAATCTAGTGTGCCACCAATAATCATTGCGGTAACCAACTCCGGGGATGTAACGAAGGCGTGGGTAGCAGGGTTAGCATCGTTACGGCCAGTGAAATTGCGATTGTATGAAGTAACAATTGTATTCTTCTCTCCCTTCTTGACATCTTGACGATCCCACTGACCAATACAAGGACCACAAGCATTTGCTAAAACAGTGCCACCAAAGGCACGCAATGTTTCTGCCTGTTGAGAATAAAACCATCTTGGTGAGACATTAACATACTATCAAAATTAGCCGATAAACTTTTTAGAATCGACTAATATATCATAAATGCAATAGCCGGTACTGGTAAAAATTGTAGCACTGTAATATTGACATTTTCTGCGCATCAACCAAGCTAGGCAAGTTGGAAGGGTTCTCAAGTTTCTAGTTAGGCAAAGAGAGTTGCTTTTTATAAGAGTGTTGCAAATCGAGAGAATGGGACGATATGCATGCAACTATGCTTATTTAAGGTACCATCATTTCAATATACTGTATTCAACATATAAATATTCTTAATCATAACATCATTTTATCAACAAAGTTTAATTGAATAAACTCGGCAACTCGAGTTAAATTTAAACATACCAGGGTTATCATTAAATAACTCGATTAAAGATTCGTACCACACATTAAGTGCAGCATATTATTTTACTTACAATTCCATCTCGCTCAATTGTAGCACGGATCTGTTCTGATCCTGGAGTGATTTGGAAGGAACACTTTGCCTTAAGTCCATGGCTCATAGCTTCCTTCGCAATAGATGCACAACGACCCATGTCTTCATACGATGAATTAGTGCAGGAGCCAATAAGACCAACTTTGATGTCAAGAGGCCAACCCTTCTCCCTGGCAGCATCACCCACCTTTAAAGATTCAATAATAAAAATATGTACACAAATAAAAGCACACAACTAGATATATACTCCCTACCTCCCTCCCTCTCTCTTTCATTCTCTCCCTCTTTCTTTCACTCTCCCTCCCTCTCTTTCACCCTCCTTACCTCCCCCTCTCACCCTCGTTACCTCCCCCCTCTCACCCTCCTTGCTTCCCTCTCTCTCTCTCACCCTCCTTGCTTCCCTCTCTCTCTCTCACCCTCCTTGCTTCCCTCTCTCTCTCTCACCCTCCTTGCTTCCCTCTCTCTCTCTCTCACCCTCCTTGCTTCCCTCTCTCTCTCTCTCACCCTCCTTGCTTCCCTCTCTCTCTCTCCTCACCCTCCTTGCTTCCCTCTCTCTCTCTCTCTCACCCTCCTTGCTTCCCTCTCTCTCTCTCACCCTCCTTGCTTCCCTCTCTCTCTCTCACCCTCCTTGCTTCCCTCTCTCACCCTCTCTCTCTCACCCTCCTTGCTTCCTTCTCCTCTCTCTCTCTCACCCTCCTTGCTTCCCTCTCTCTCTCTCACCCTCCTTGCTTCCCTCTCTCTCTCTCACCCTCCTTGCTTCCCTCTCTCTCTCTCACCCTCCTTGCTTCCCTCTCTCTCTCTCACCCTCCTTGCTTCCCTCTCTCTCTCTCACCCTCCTTGCTTCCCTCTCTCTCTCTCACCCTCCTTGCTTCCCTCTCTCTCTCTCACCCTCCTTGCTTCCCTCTCTCTCTCTCACCCTCCTTGCTTCCCTCTCTCTCTCTCACCCTCCTTGCTTCCCTCTCTCTCTCTCACCCTCCTTGCTTCCCTCTCTCTCTCTCACCCTCCTTGCTTCCCTCTCTCTCTCTCACCCTCCTTGCTTCCCTCTCTCTCTCTCACCCTCCTTGCTTCCCTCTCTCTCTCTCACCCTCCTTGCTTCCCTCTCTCTCTCTCACCCTCCTTGCTTCCCTCTCTCTCTCTCACCCTCCTTGCTTCCCTCTCTCTCTCTCACCCTCCTTGCTTCCCTCTCTCTCTCTCACCCTCCTTGCTTCCCTCTCTCTCTCACCCTCCTTGCTTCCCTCTCTCTCTCACCCTCCTTGCTTCCCTCTCTCACCCTCCTTGCTTCCCTCTCTCTCTCACCCTCATTACCTGTCTTTCATTCTCCCTACCTCCTTCCCTCTCATTCTCCCCTCTCTTTTTTTCTCCTCCTCCTCCTCTCAGACAAATGTAATGCTGAATTCATGTTCATTGTTTTTGAACAATTGCAGGCCTGCCTTCTGTCACCAATTATGTGGGGAAAGTGTGGTCACTATTGGAATGCCAAAACCCTTCTTAATATTAGTAATAAGCCCAACTTCAAACAGTATATTCATCCCTTTCCCCAAGCCATCCACCCTGCAAAGTTGGGTGAGGCTAGCCAAAAGCATTTGGCCTCCAACTTTATACAACCAGACACACACTCTTACAGGTACAGATTAGCCCCACTGAAACTGGGTGGGAGAGAAGCAGAAATTCAAGTGCCACAACCAAGTAAATGAGTTTACCGAAATATTTTATTTGTATTTATTTGCACTGTCAGTGGTACACAAAAGAAAAAATGATTTTAGATTCTGGATGGGGTCAGTTCACATCAAGATGGACAAATATTGAATAGTACACTCATCCAGTGCAGCTACAGCATTTGTCAGTAAGTTTTAACCATAATTTACAATATGCTTTACTTGCATAGCATTCTAGTGAAACTAGCCATCATATCCTTCCCTCATCCTCACCATTAATATTTCAACAGAATTTATCCATACATTTATTTTAATTAAAATAGAATAAAGGTAAATGAGGAAGAAATCAGAGTTAAGGCAGTAGTAGCAGACAAACACATGACAAGATGGCACCAACACCAGTTATATTATTGCCACACAAACTGCACCAACACTCAAGCTTCAAAATCCTCTCTCTCCCAACAAAGTAGATAATGCACAAATGGTAATATGCATGCAATTTTCATTTTTTTTTTACTAACCTTGTGAACAGGATGAGCGAGATCTGGAGTGAATGGACCATTAATATGTGGTTCCAGTTCAGATAAGTTAATTTCAATCAGTTGATCATATGGAGATCCTTCATCTGGTGTTAGCAGGGAGATATTCTTATCAGCCAGGTTGGCAATATCCTTACGATTGGTCGCTGCCAAATAAGCTTGCATCCGTTTATTATAAGGAAATACTGACGTCGTTGCACCTGTGGACAATTATATTTCATGTTTTAATTTTAGAATCAGGTATTTTCTGTAATGTAAAATAAAGTTTATTAATGGAACAAAAGAATTACTTTCGTTGAATTTCATTCAACAAAATCCTAATTTCATTCTAATTTTCTAATTAAAAAAAGATATTTTTCATTCTAATTTCACCCTCCTGACTTAAAAAAAAAAAAGCATTGAATATAATATAACACCAATTTCTGGACGAGCTCCATATGATGACAACATCACTAATGAATCATGATATTGCAAGACTTCCAGGCTTTGCCATGGCCAAAGTCAGTTATTATTTCTTGTCTCTCTTCTGTTGCTACTATCCTAGATGGCATTTCCTTTTGTAAACACCCAAACATTATTATGGACTTTCTTCTATCTTGAGGTTATCTCGAGTTGATTTTGGGGCTTTTTTAGTGTCCCCGCGGCCCGGTCCTTGACCAGGCCTCCACCCCCAGGAAGCAGCCCGTGACAGCTGACCAACTCCCAGGTACCTATTTACTGCTAGGTAACAGGGGCATAGGGTGAAAGAAACTCTGCCCATCATTTCTCGCTGGCGCCCGGGATCAAACCCGGGACCACAGGATCACAAGTCCAGTGTGCTGTCTGCTTGGCCGACCAGCTCCCCTAAGCATATATTACTCCCCGATCAGCTCCCCTAAGGATATTCTAACCGCATTCTTTTCTACTAATTTAGTGTTGTTAACCAGTTCTTTACTAACTGCTTGTTTAATATCTGTTTCTTGTTGCACATTTCTATTTTTGAATTCCAAAAATATCTGATTTTTTTTGTTCACTTTAACAACTTGTGCATATTTCTTTAATTTCTTCTTTGCACTTCTCCAATCCTTTATTAACCTCCTCTATTAGACCTGTGAATGAAGTTTCTTTTACCATACACATGTCGAACTCACTGTTTTGGTTAGCTTGAAGGGTTGCTCCGAGATATTCTCCATATGAATCTATTTTCCTGTTAATGTCTTCAAATTATCTACCTTCAATTTGCATATTTTCTTTCAATAGTTCATTGATTTGTACCTTCTGTCTCTTAACCATGTCAGTCAAGCTGGTAATTTCCTTATCATTCTCTTGAATAACATTGACCCTTTTCCAGATTTCTCGAGTAGACCAGCTTATAGTGTTTTACAACCCAGGTATCAAGATGTACTTCCAGATTCCTTTTAACCTCCTCTTTTATAACCAGACTAGTGTCCAATGTTAAAGATACTATAGGAGAATATTGGTCATATATGACCAGATATAAAATTTCCTCTAAATTGTAACAAAGCAAATCATTGATCCAAATTAGTGTTCCAAATGCTTCCTGTATCCAAGAGACACAAACTTAACCTTAATATGGCTATCATTAAAATTGTCAGATTGCCAGTGTGAAAATATCTGTCTTTTCTGGTTTAGTGTGTGCAGTACGAGGAAGCCGAGTGCTGAGTCACTGTTAATCGAAACCACATGATAAAGAATGCAGACACCTGAAATGTTCAACTAGAATGGTTTTCATGTTCATTACTTCACTTTCACTTCACTCATTAGTTTACACAATGTAGTGTTCAAGTTGAATAACTCGGTTTATGTACACATAATTGACAAAAAGAAGCGATTGAATACTGTACATAAGCAATAATGCAATATGTACCCCAAAATTGCACATACACCCAGTAAAGCTCCAAAATGGTGTCTTGCAACCCACTCCTTTGCTGTAATTCTGTTTGGAAATGTCGTCAAGGTATGGATTCAAATACAGCGTTGGCAGTAAACACAATATCCACATTAGACAATAACTGCAGGCCCCTAGGTCATGATTACCTCATTGCATAGTTTCACATTTTCAGAGTTAGAGCAAACTGGCTTCACTGAACTACCTGCTGGTTTTAATATTAAACACCACATCTATAACACTAAGAAAATAACTGCTTGAAAACTCACCAATTTCAGCACCCATATTGCAGATGGTTGCCATGCCAGTGCAAGAAATGGAATCGACACCAGGCCCAAAGTACTCAACAATAGCACCTGTTCCACCTTTAACAGTGAGAATTCCGGCAACCTTCAGAATGATATCTTTAGGCGAGGTCCAGCCACCCAGCTCACCAGTAAGTTTCACACCAATCACCTGCAAATGAAGAAGAATATTTATACAAGAGAATGTCTGGTTTATCTGTTCAATCTAAGAGGCTAGACATTTGGGCCTAATCTCGTCAAACTTTCCATGGTGGCTGGTGGTGGTTCCAGAATGGTCATATGCAGATCGGGGTCAACTCACATGCCACCACTAATTGAATGAAATGGGAAATGATATTTCCAATAATTAGCAAAAAACAAATGTAAAACTGCTCAGTAAATAGAAATAAATAAAGCTGCAAGACTATCGGCCCACATGAGGTATCTATGTTTACCAAACTCATTAAAACTTTCGCTCGGTAACGACACAGTACAGCGTCGAAAATTTAGTAGATGAATGCTCGGTAACGACGCAGTATGGTGCCAAAAATTTAAAAATTTGGCCCGGTTTGCATATTTTCTTGTAGGGAATTTCATTGTGAATACATTGATACCAAAATGAAAGACCTAGGATGAGAATTGAGGTAAGAAAGTTGAAAAAGAGTATTCACATTTTATTGCTCTTGACGAGCGCTCACGGGGGTAACGTGCTGTCACTTTCTCCGTTTGCTTTGGCTGGTATGCCAGGCTTTTGGATTTTATGCATATAGTCCTGTAGGGAATTCTATTGCGAACACAATGATAAAATGAAAGACCTAGGATGAGAATTGAGGCGACCAAAGTGAAAAAGAGTACTGTATACAGTACGCATTTTACTGCTCTTGCGTGCTCTCGGGTAACACGCTCTCACTTTGTTTTGTGCAGGTGGTACGCCGGGCTTTTGGACTTTATATGCATTTAATCCTGTAGAGAATTCTATTGCGAACACATTTATATTAAATTGAAAAACCTAGGATGAGAATCGAGATAACAAGTTGAAAAGAGTACACACTTTTCAGTATTACCGCGAGCTCCCATGGAATGCCAGGCCCACCTTGAGGGTGGGGCGGTGCTCTCTTGCCCACACCGCCAAAGTGTCAATCTTGTATCTAAATCGCTACAATATATGGTCAACAACAGAGTCCTGGGGCACTGCACAAACAACAGTTTTGGTTCCCACTTAGAAAGTAGAAACCTCTATGAATAAATTAACCATATTAAATTAGAGAAAAAGATATAGTACAGTACATCATACCATGATACTTTAAAACTTTTTGCGGGGAGAAGGGAAGGAGGAAATGTGTAATGTGATGCACTTGAGCCACAAACAATATTCTAACTTTCCTGACTAGTCTCAGTTTGAGGTTGCATTTGAATGTTATTCTTGGGTTTCTTCGAGAGAAAAAAAAAATCAGATACACTGCATTCCATCAATTAAGATGACTTGATTCAGGCTCTACTACTGAACTTTGTAGGGTAAATAAATTCATGTAAAGGGTTAAGTTACATGTAATAGAGGCAAGAAATAATAAGTGGCCACTACCCATACCTTTGGACACTTCAGCTCCCAGGGAATATTTGCCATTACATCAACAGCATCTGCTCCTCCGACTCCAATGCACAGACCTCCCAGCCCACCACCATTTGGAGTGTGTGAGTCCGTTCCAATCATCAGAAGACCAGGGAAGGCATAATTTTCCAAGATGATCTATTAGAAAATATTAATAATAATATTATACCTGTATACACAAAAAGTAAATATGGGTTATAATTTTTCCTCTAAGTATAACTTGGGAAAAGGAAATAACACAATTTCTAAAAACATATTCACACTTAAACGTGGCACACTAGGTCTTAAATATTTAAAAACAATTTAAATGTATTTTCAAAATTGATATAAATGCTTCCATCAATAACTCTCGAACTTCATACCTGATGGATGATGCCTGATCCAGGTTTCCAAAATCCAACTCCATATTTGGCACCAGCAGTAGCAAGGAAGTTGTATACCTCCTTATTCAATTCTATGGCTCGATTTAGATCTTTGGGCCCATCAACCTTAAAAAGAACAATGTTAATACAGTGTAGTGTTAAAACTTGTAAAACAATAATGGAAGGTTGTCAAAGTTTATATAACTTTGTAAAATAATGAATCTATTCAAGGTTAAAATGGTTGAAAGCACACTTTAATATACCTGAGCTTGAATAAGATGATCACAATGAATTGTTGATGGTACAGCCACTTTAGGAAGACCAGAGCTTATGAACTGTAACATGGCCATCTGTGCAGTCGCATCTTGCATGGCCACTCTATCAGGCCGGAGCTTTAAGTACGACTCCCCACGTACTATGTCTTGGCCAGCAGGATCATCCAAATGGGAATATAACACCTTTTCTGAGAGAGTTAGAGGACGATTCAGCCTGAAATCAATAAAATAATAATGAAAGATTATGTAGTATACCAGAAAATGCATGATTTAATGAAGAATATAAAACAAGAATGATAAGAATATACTGTACAAAGAACTCACACTGTGATACTGTATATATATCAATGAGAAACTGGAGTAATGAGGTGACGAACTAGCTGTTTGGGTACTCCCAGCTGTGCACCTACTTTTTTTTTTTTTTTTTTTTTTTTTTTTTTTTTGAGATATATACAAGAGTTGTTACATTCTTGTACAGCCACTAGTACGCGTAACGTTTCGGGCAAGTCCTTAATCCTATGGTCCCTGGAATACGATCCCCTGCCGCGAAGAATCGTTTTTTCATCCAAGTACACATTTTACTGTTGCGTTAAACAGAGGCTACAGTTAAGGAATTGCGCCCAGTAAATCCTCCCCGGCCAGGATACGAACCCATGACATAGCGCTCGCGGAACGCCAGGCGAGTGTCTTACCACCACGGAGACTCGAACTCGTGTACCATGTCATGGTACACGAGTTAGGTGGTATAAGTTATACAACCTGGGATTCCACTGAATCCACAGGAATTCGGCTGCCCTCCTTAACGCAATTAGGCTGTGAAAGTTTTCATGGTGTTATTAAATACCGAGTTCAAAGATAGCAATTAGTCTGCAATCCATGGCATCTATGGCCATGTCATAGTGGTCTAGCAATTGTGAGAGGCAGGAGCATCCTGTTCTCAGCCCATGTTGCCAAGATAGAACACAAAACAATGTCTAATTACTTATTTGAAAGTTTAACATTGGGTTGCTGGACTTCAAGCCACATACAGTCACATACAAGTGGGTGTTGCTGGGTATAAACAGTAACTACTTTTCATGTGGCAATAATCATTCTACATATTCATCTATCCTATTGGTATGTAGCAGTTTGTTAACCTTTAAGGCAGCTGGCAAGTCTAGTAATTCAGAAGTCCCTTTATATTAAATCTTAGGGAATTATCAGGAATATAACAACAATACTTTCCAGGATTCCCAGAAACATATTAAAGAATAAAATTAAATGGGCACAATAACATCAAATCGTTTACAGTAATTATTAAACCACCTCCAGAGATACTTTCATGCACGGGAAACTAAGAACGTTCAATAATACCAAGGCTGGCTCACTAAAGTGTTACATTAAGAGTATAGTATACACATCTTCGTAGGGTTGCAACAAGACTCATGCACAAGTACCTCTGAATTCACACTTCTAACCTCTGCTTGATGACAGAAAGATTGGCTTGTAGTTTTTCATATGGCATTTCTGTCCCAGTGTCCAGGTGGGACATTGCCACTTTATGGGCAGCACTAACCAGGGGAGATACATGGAAGCAACGTGCCTGCACTCGTCCCTTCACCACAATGCTCAGGCTCTGCAAAGATTATATAGTATTAAAATAAATCAAACAAAAACACACACACACAAACACTAGAACCACTATGGAGCACCAATTGGTAAATGGAATTTAATGTGAATAAATGCCAAGTTATGGAATGTAGAATAGAATTGACCCCAAAACAACATATAAATTATGTAAGAAATCTTTACAGAATTCTGATAAAGAGAGAGAGATCTAGGAGTGGTTCTAGATAGAAAACTATCACCTGAGGTCCACAAAGAACATTGTGCAAGGAGCCTATGCTATATTTTCTAACTTCAGAATTGCTTTTAATGGATTACTACATGGATGGTGAAATACTAAAGAAATTATTCACGACTTTTGTTAGACCAGAGCTGGAATATGCAGCAGTTGTGTGGGCTGGAATATGCAGCAGTTGTGTGGTACCTATGTCTTAAGACTCACATCAACAAACTGGAAAAGGTGCAAAGACATGCTACTAAGTGGCTCCCAGATCTGAAGGGCAAGAGCTACGAGGAGAGGTTAGAGGCATTAAACATGCCAAAACTAGAAGATAGAAGAAAAAAATTCACTACGTACAAAATAGTAACAGGAAATGATAAAATTGATAGGGAAGATTTCCAGAGACCTGGAACTTCAAGATCAAGAGGTCATAGGTTTAAACTAAGTAAACAAAGCTGAGGAAATATAAGAAAATTCACTTTTGCAAACAGAGTGGTAGACAGTTGGAACAAGTTAGGTGAGAAGGTGGTGGAGGCCAAGACCGTCAGTAGTTTTAAAGCGTTATATGATTTTACTGGCAAGACGGGACACCACAAGCGTAGCTCCCATCCTGTAACTACACTTAGGTAATTACATCAGCATCATACTGAGGCAGCCAGAGCAGCAGGTGCCCACACCAGTGTCATACAGAGGCAGCCAGAGCAGCAGGTGCCCACACCAGTGTCATACTGAGGCAGCCAGAGCAGCAGGTGCCCACACCAGTGTCATACTGAGGCAGCCAGAGCAGCAGGTGCCCACACCAGTGTCATACTGAGGCAGTCAGAGCAGCAGGTGCCCACACCAGCGTCATACTGAGGCAGCCAGAGCAGCAGGTGCCCACACCAGCGTCATACTGAGGCAGCCAGAGCAGCAGGTGCCCACACCAGCGTCATACTGAGGCAGCCAGAGCAGCAGGTGCCCACACCAGCGTCATACTGAGGCAGCCAGAGCAGCAGGTGCCCACACCAACGTCATACTGAGGCAGCCAGAGCAGCAGGTGCCCACACCAGCGTCATACTGAGGCAGCCAGAGCAGCAGGTGCCCACACCAGCAGCATACCGAGGCAGCCAGAGCAGCAGGTGCCCACACCAGCGTCATACTGAGGCAGCCAGAGCAGCAGGTACCCACACCAGCGTCATACTGAGGCAGCCAGAGTAGCAGGTGCCCACACCAGCGTCATACTGAGGGAGCCAGAGCAGCAGGTGCCCACACCAGCGTCATACTGAGGCAGCCAGAGCAGCAGGTGCCCACACCAGCGTCATACTGAGGCAGCCAGAGCAGCAGGTACCCACACCAGCGTCATACTGAGGCAGCCAGAGCAGCAGGTGCCCACACCAGCGCCATACTGAGGCAGCCAGAGCAGCAGGTGCCCACACCAGCGTCATACTGAGGCAGCCAGAGCAGCAGGTGCCCACACCAGCGTCATACTGAAGCAGACAGAGCAGCAGGTGCCCACACCAGCGTCATACTGAAGCAGCCAGAGCAGCAGGTGCCCATACCAGCGTCATACTGAAGCAGCCAGAGCAGCAGGTGCCCACACCAGCGCCATACTGAGGCAGCCAGAGCAGCAGGTGCCCACACCAGCAGCATACTGAGGCAGCCAGAGCAGCAGGTGCCCACACCAGTGTCATACTGAGGCAGCCAGAGCAGCAGGTACCCACACCAGCGTCATACTGAGGCAGCCAGAGTAGCAGGTGCCCACACCAGCGTCATACTGAGGCAGCCAGAGCAGCAGGTGCCCACACCAGCGTCATACTGAGGCAGCCAGAGCAGCAGGTACCCACACCAGCGTCATACTGAGGCAGCCAGAGCAGCAGGTGCCCACACCAGCGTCATACTGAGGCAGCCAGAGCAGCAGGTGCCCACACCAGCGTCATACTGAGGCAGCCAGAGCAGCAGGTGCCCACACCAGCGTCATACTGAAGCAGACAGAGCAGCAGGTGCCCACACCAGCGTCATACTGAAGCAGCCAGAGCAGCAGGTGCCCATACCAGCGTCATACTGAGGCAGCCAGAGCAGCAGGTGCCCACACCAGCGTCATACTGAGGCAGCCAGAGCAGCAGGTGCCCACACCAGCGTCATACTGAGGCAGCCAGAGCAGCAGGTGCCCACACCAGCGTCATACTGAGGCAGCCAGAGCAGCAGGTGCCCACACCAGCGTCATACTGAGGCAGCCAGAGCAGCAGGTGCCCACACCAACGTCATACTGAGGCAGCCAGAGCAGCAGGTGCCCACACCAGCGTCATACTGAGGCAGCTAGAGCAGCAGGTGCCCACACCAGCAGCATACCGAGGCAGCCAGAGCAGCAGGTGCCCACACCAGCGTCATACTGAGGCAGCCAGAGCAGCAGGTACCCACACCAGCGTCATACTGAGGCAGCCAGAGTAGCAGGTGCCCACACCAGCGTCATACTGAGGCAGCCAGAGCAGCAGGTGCCCACACCAGCGTCATACTGAGGCAGCCAGAGCAGCAGGTGCCCACACCAGCGTCATACTGAAGCAGCCAGAGCAGCAGGTGCCCACACCAGCGTCATATTGAGGCAGCCAGAGCAGCAGGTACCCACACCAGCGTCATACTGAGGCAGCCAGAGCAGCAGGTGCCCACACCAGCGTCATACTGAGGCAGCCAGAGCAGCAGGTGCCCACACCAGCAGCATACTGAGGCAGCCAGAGCAGCAGGTGCCCACACCAGCAGCATACTGAGGCAGCCAGAGCAGCAGGTGCCCACACCAGCAGCATACTGAGGCAGCCAGAGCAGCAGGTGCCCACACCAGCGTCACACTGAGGCAGGCAGAGCAGCAGGTGCCCACACCAGCGTCACACTGAGGCAGCCAGAGCAGCAGGTGCCCACACCAGCGTCATACTGAGGCAGCCAGAGCAGCAGGTGCCCACACCAGCGTCACACTGAGGCAGGCAGAGCAGCAGGTGCCCACACCAGCGTCACACTGAGGCAGCCAGAGCAGCAGGTGCCCACACCAGCGTCATACTGAGGCAGCCAGAGCAGCAGGTGCCCACACCAGCGTCATACTGAGGCAGCCAGAGCAGCAGGTGCCCACACCAGCAGCATACTGAGGCAGCCAGAGCAGCAGGTGCCCACACCAGCAGCATACTGAGGCAGCCAGAGCAGCAGGTGCCCACACCAGCAGCATACTGAGGCAGCCAGAGCAGCAGGTGCCCACACCAGCGTCATACTGAAGCAGCCAGAGCAGCAGGTGCCCACACCAGCGTCATACTGAGGCAGTCAGAGCAGCAGGTGCCCACACCAGCGTCATACTGAGGCAGTCAGAGCAGCAGGTGCCCACACCAGCGTCATATTAGGGCAGCGACCCCAGCCGTTGCGTCAAGGCGGCCAATCAGCTGTTGGAGGACATAACCGGCACACAAGACAACACCGCTCTACAAGGCCCGGGGTCACACCCTAGTGATGACACGAGGTGTGGCAGGTGGTGGTGGTGATGTGGTGGCCCTGGTGGCACCAGTATCATGCGGGTAGAGGGAAGGTATTAGTGTGATAGTGTACAGACCTGAGGAAGACGGCAGGTGATGGTGAGCGCCATGGTGCCTCTGGCTCCCTCTCCTCCCCTCTCCCCCCTTCATCACACATTTCTCAGGGTTAACTAAATATGATATTTTATAACCTTTATATCCCCCAACTAGTATATATTATATACATTATACATTACATATTGTCATGGATGAGGTTAAATAAGATCACAATGCGTAGTTTTATGGAGTTTTATGAAGGTGAGGTTAATGGTTGGGTGTGACCTGTACATGAAGTGTGTGTGTGTGTGGGCGGGCTGTATTACAGACCTGTATCTCACTTATAGTGGCACTTCACTTACCCTCACTACATCACAACACATATAATGTCACCATGGTTTCTCATCGCTACTTTTCACTATTATTATTATTACTGCATTATTTTTTGTGCAAAATACTGACAGTTATTTCATTGCACTCGTAATATAGTTTTTTTTTTTTAATTTATTGTTTATTGATTTAAATGCTGTTAATTATTTAGACTATTTTTAATATGAAAGCAATATGTATAACAGAGTACATACAATGACATTCAAGATGAAGTATAAACATCACTAAACACGGCTGACAACCTTTCATCATCGTATCCTAAACTGGTGATCATTTATTTACAACATGATATGTAGATTAACTAAAAAGAGCAAAGTGTCACATTGAACATAATATTAGAAAATTTATAAAATGTTTGTCATAGAGGAAGCGAGTGTAAAATGTTAGTATAAGTGTGAGAATGTTCTGGAAGAGCTGAGACGTAGTGTTGGCAGGCGTGGCGGTGGTGGCGGGCAGCAGAGGCCGGACTCGTCGCCCACAACACGCCACAACACCACAATGGCTCTCCACGTCCCTAAAGCTCCGGGCTTCTCGTCTATGCTCAAGGATGGTGCTCGGGTACGTGTCACGCACGCTCCACAGTGTATTACGGCAGCTACACTAAGATAGTTGCACACAAGTGTGTGAATAGTGGTGTTAGTGAGGGTGAGAGGGGCCGCGTGTGTCACCCTGTGTGTCACATGTTTCTCCCGCCGCCTCTACAACAGTTATTACCACTACTAAACACCTTACCGTCTACCACTTGTATAATAATAACGTAAACTTAACCCTCAATTAACAGTTTTCCCGTAAATTTTAAAATAAAATTTTGTTTGAAAATAATCAATGTTAACAAAGTTTTTTTTTTTTTTTTTTGCGAATAATGATGAATGAATGTATCCAAGTACTGTATCCAGCTTTCTGGGTTGTTGTTGTTGATTTAAGGGCGACGACGATCGTGGGATCTGATGCACCCCAGTGTACCCGTTAAGGGTGAATTGCGAAGCCTGGGAAGGTGAAACGCCAAGCCTAATCTCTAAACGAGTGACGCCTATCACTGGAAATTAATATGCCTCGCAGCAAAGAAACGTAGACAGGCAGATGACTGGGGAGCCCCAGGAGTCCCTCAGGGTGACCAGCACCGGCCCCGCCCAACACACAACACTGGGTAGTAAAACGAAAAACTCGGCCACCAGCTAAAATGCAAAGGTCATCCAGTGCCCTCCGACAGAGCAGAAGCTGGCCCACCAACACGGCTGAGGGTACACCAGGAGCCCACCAAGACCCACCAACTCCCGGCACCTCTCGGCCAAGCCGGCGCCGGACACCGTCACCCCGCCGGGAGAACCAGCTAGAACACTTCAAACAAAAAAATCTATCACAATCCCATGACCCAAGGCGATGTGTGCGCCAGGCATCTTGCAAACTGGAACGTTGACGAGGAATGCCAAACGACAGTATTAAACCCAAATTGCAAAACGGAATATGATCAGGTGGCTCCCAAGCGGAGGCATCGTCCAGACATCTGCTTGGCGTCAAGGTTGAACCAGGAGTCAAGTTTCTGGGTTGGCATACATGCAGTCTTGAAATTTGCATTTGCTACGAAACATTCGTTACTTGAAGTATTGGATGTTCATTTTGCGGTTTGCTTTTGAACCATACTTAGCTTGTGTGTCATTGGTCTTATAACTGTGATGGTGCTACATAAGTCTTTCTCGTATGGCCCTTATATATAATATATATATATAATATATATTTTAATATAGTATGTTGTTAACACTTTCGCGCTTTAGATTAGAGATAACTCGTCACTGTTTTTTCTTACGATTCCGCATAACAGCCTACTTTTCTCGTCAATCGAAAAAATATTTCTATAAATTCCATTTTTTAACCGAAATGGATGGGGATACTTTTGTTTTGTAGTGAATTTATTTGCGAATTTTTTGGTACCAGAATGAATATTATATCACAAACTTCTATGAGTAAAAAAAAAAATACACAAAGTATGTTTGGGGGTGTGGCGAGCGTGTGGCAGTGGGTTCCCTTTAGCCGTTGATATATCCAACACGTGGGAAATATTTGTATGTGTTATGTATATGTCTGTGTAGGGAATTTTACTGCGATCACTGTCATATAAATTATAAAATGTTTCAACAAGTATAAACACGACAAACATCAAACGAACGAAAACAATGCGTTCGTTTCTGCCGCGAACGCATACTGAGCGACGTGGTTCTATATTTGGCGCTTCTCTTACACATGCTTTGTACAAATGTTATACAGTTCATCTTATAGAAAATTTTATTGCGAACACATATGTATAAAAAAGAAATACGTACATAGAAAAGTAGGGTCAGGAAACGTCTAAACTTTCCAAGCATGATTTCCCCCCTGTGTTTTTGCCAGTGCGCTCGCGGCTATCTACTCTCCACTTCACACTCTTGCGGGTGGGCAATTACCTATATTAAACATTCATATGCATACGTCCGTGTAGAGAATTTTATTGCGATTCCAATGACACCAAAATTAGCGATGTAGGACAACTGTAGGCTTCGCAACCATTAAGAGAGTGGAAACATTTTGTTGCTGTTTGGCGCTCTCGGCGAGTGATCTGCATAGTTTTTTATTTGGTGTTGATACTCCTTATGCTTGGGCGGCATTTTATAGGTATGCTCTTATAGACAATTTTATTGCGAACACAGTGATACCAAATTTAAATACGTGCGCCTTCAATTGTTGTCAGGACAGTCAAAAGAGTGTACACTTTTTCGGTCTTGCCGCGTAGGCGCACGAAGTGCCGAAAGCATCTGGGGTATTGTTTTTTTTTTTGAGCGCCGAGAGCGCGAAAGTGTTAAATATGACCGAAAAAGTAAGATTAATAATTCTAACACGAATTTTCTCAATATTTCTTGTTTCTTTTTACTGTTGATGGTAATTGAAAAATCAAATCTCCAAAATTCATTTTTATTTCTAATCTGACGCGATGCTTGAACGCGTTTCGTAATAACTTATTGCATTTTCAGAGACTAGTTTACACACACACAACTGTAACCTGAAAACACTAAACAGTTTTACTTATGCTAACACTTAAACAGCTTGTCTTATATACTCGCATTTGGGTGAGGTGATATGTTGCAACAGTTTTGGATGAGGTGAACAAACTTTTGACCAACATAATAATACCCAATGTTCAGTGTTCTGTCTTATGTTATCCTGATATGTTGCAACAGTTTTGGATGAGGTGAACAAACTTTTGACCAACATAATAATACCCAATGTTCAGTGTTCTGTCTTATGTTATCCTGATATGTTGCAACAGTTTTGGATGAGGTGAACAAACTTTTGACCAACATAATAATACCCAATGTTCAGTGTTCTGTCTTATGTCATCCTGATGTCGATTTGCATTACTAGGTCCCATGTCATGTATTTTCTTTTATCTCACTAGCTTTTCACCATACTGTATTTCATCCCTCTATTCCCTGTAATTTTCACCTGTTTTCCTATCATATTTCTTATCTTCTTTGTTTTTTCCTTATGCCTTTCCCTTACGTACTGTGTTTATTTACTAAGAACTGCCCAAGTTAAAGATTCATAGGCATCTTTTGGCCAAGCTGGGGCAACTAAATAAATTGGGCATAATAAATTAAACACTCGTGATCACTCATGATATTTGTATTTCAGCACTATGCCGGACAGGAGGAGGCAGTGTTCCGCAATATTTCTGCCTGCAAGGAATTCAGCAATACCCTGAAAACTGCATATGGGCCCCAGGGTCGTAATAAAATGGTTATCAATCACTTGGAAAAGCTGTTTATCACCAATGATGCAGCCACAATCATTAAGGAACTGGAGGTAAGAATAAAGATAGCTCATTAATAATTTCTTTTTATGTATTCATGGTAGAGATACAAAAGTATCAAATCATAAGTGTGTTGGGTGTAATTACTTAAGTGTAAATAAGAGATGAGAACTATGCTTGTGATTCGTCTTCCCAGCACTTTGTCATATAACACTGAAACTATTGGCGGTTTTGGCCGTCTCGACCTTCTCGCTTAACTTTTTCCAACCATCTACCACTGTTTGCGAAAGTAAACTTTTAAAAAAAAAATTTGACACCTTTGTTTCCTTAGCTTGAATCTTTGACCTCTTATTCTTGAAATTGGTGGTTTCAGGAATTCCTCTTGTCAATTTGGTTAATTCCTGTTATTATTTGTAAGTGGTGATCATATCGCCTGTTTAATGCTTCTAGCCTCTCCACGTAACTTGTTTTTCAGCTTTGGTGGCCATTTTGTATCATGTCTAACCTTTTCCAGATTATTGATTTGCTTCTTGAAATAAGGGCACCATACAGCTGCTGCATATGTTAATTTTGGTCTCTCAAAAGTTATGAATAGTTTCTTCAGTATTTCACCTTCCATGTAATTAAAAGCAAGTCTGAAGTTAGAAAGTGACATGCATGCTCCTCTCTCAATGTTCTGTGTGTACGTCTGGTGACTGTTTACTATCCAAAACTACCCCTAGTTCTTGTTTTTTTTTTTTTTTTTTTATTCCTTTCCACATAATTTGTAAGTTGTGTGGGGTCTATTTTCTCAGATTCCACATTTTATAACATGGCATTTATTTACATTGATTTCCATTTGTCACAAGTCACTCGAAGCACTTATTTTATCTATATCAATGTGAAAGGCATGCCAATCATCTGGGTCTCCTATCTTCCACGCAATATAGTGTGTGTTATTCACAAAGAAATTAACACGTGATGAATAATGTGAAAATATTTAACCCACGAAGGAAAAAATGAAAACAGTTGACTTGAGCGCTTTTGTGTTAATCAACACATTATCAAAAGTTTCTGTGGGAGCTCCAGGGAGCTATCAGGCTAATATGTGATATATTAGACTATGACAATAGTCAATGGAGTTCAGCCTACCGGGAACCACGAACCTTTTCTATCTGGCCCCCTCAGAGAGGCACAGGGAGCAATGGCCCTTGGAAAGGGCCATTGCTCTTTCCCCTACCCTAACCATAAGTCACAATGGTTCTTATGGTTAGGGTACGGCTTTTCTAATCTGCCATTGACTGGGGTTAGGCACCCAAAAAGGTAGGCATAACAAAACAGAGCCCACATGGAAAGAAAATTACAACCGAAAGCCAAACAGAGAAGTAGAACTCCCCCAATTCCCAAGGATACGATAAGACGTCACACCGCCGCCGTGCTGCTCGTCTGTGCAGCCCCACCCAGAGCCTCTGATCCTCCGTGCCGGCAACCCAGTAACTCAAATTCATTGGCTATTGTGATTTAGAGGTGGTCATCAACTCTGGCTGCGATTTCCAAGCAGTGTTTTGCCTTGGTGGTTTTTTCTGCCATGTTGAGGTATGGTGACTAGGTGTAACAGTGTACTGGGGCTGCATACGCTTAAGGTGACCGTCCCTGAGCGCCCTGTGAGTACTACTTCTGCGTGCTAGAGTTCTCTTCCCTGGTGTGTTCGGGATGCCATTTCTGAAGGGGATTTTGCTGCTTGTCAAAACCCAGCAGAGGTTTAGTGGCCCTTGTTTGGTCTTGGATAAGGAGTGGTATTGTTGCTGGTTGGGGGCGTCAAGTTGTTGCGCAGCCAGCTTACCTATGCAGCTGTCGGTTCCTGCTCATTTCCTTTGGGACTTTTACGGGGTTTTTCTTTTACTTTTTGTTTTGTTTGCCTGGTGTGTCTATAGGACCACTTCTGATATTTTGGTGGTCCTCTGCTAGGCCTCCCTGTGATTATACACATTTCAGGGGTTTCAGTGTTTTGGTCTACCTCTTGTTAGCTTTGGGTCTAACCGGCTAGCAACACCTTGCCTGGGCTTCCCATAGCAGTCAGGCTACTGGCCCTGGAAAACCCTGTTGGGGCTTGGTGGACCTATGGATGCATCTTCAGAGTTCCAGCTTGCCTTGTGGGAGTTTGAAAGTTGCTCTGTAATAACCTCAGTGTAGTTACAAGATGAGAGCTACGCTTGTGGTGTCCCGTCTACCCAGCACTGTTATATAACACTTTGAAACTACTGATGGTTTTGGCCTACAAAACCAAACTTTTGGCTGGGGCTTTGTAACCAGTGCACACCAGACTGGCTGGCTAGGGGCGGTGGGGTCCATCCTTCTCTCGGGCTCATAGCATGGTGTGGGAGTTTGTGGCGGTTTGGCTGTCGCTTCAGAGGGTTCGGGTCCCTTGAGGTTCGACCATCCGACTCTATTCGTATTGTTCTCCGGTGGTTCATTGCTTGCACCGCGGGGGTTCTCTTCAGTTCTTGCCTCTTTGGGGCTGGTCGCTTCGAATGGCTCGTCTGCTGGTTTCTCGGGGTTTGGCTCTCCATACGATTCATATCTGGGGAGTGTCCAACGTCCTCCTGATGTGGCTTTGGAGCAGTTTTGGTAGAGTCTTAGCTTTACTCGGTGTGATAGCTTCCGGGAGGCGATGGGGCTCCCCACAGAAATATACTAAGAGTTGGGGACGAGTGCTAGTCTTGTGGACAAGCACCATTCGTGTGGCACATATGGTGGCTACTGGGTATTTTATGTCCCACCTCTGCTTGGCCTTTACCCCCCTCTCCCCCACCATTACTTGTAACATTTTTCAGATGGGCTGCAATGCTCCCTGCCTTTTAAATTTTTATTAAAATCCCTTGCTCTATGAACCACTGTATCTAACTTTAATCAGACTGTGGCAAAAGTGTGAAATTGGCATTTCAAGTTGTCTGGAAAGCACATGGTCATGTGTTTGGTAATTAAAATGTATATCCTTGGTGAATATGCTTATTTGCTGCACAGTACTTGATTATATTCTAAATATAGAAATCACTTATGGCCTAGTATGGAGTTACTTAGATCCATTTTTTTCCCCCATTATAAAGTGTTGACATTTTCAGTGGTATTTATGGAAAGGCCAGTTTTAAGATATATAATTTGAAACTGATTTTTTTTCACTTTATATTTTCTGTGGTAATAATACATTTCAGAGGGTGTTGGAAGCAAAGGGGTTAAGCACTGATGCTTTTCCTTCAACTGCAGCATTTGAAAACCATTAATTTTGATGTTATAGTACTTTCCTGTTATAATGTATAGTTACATAATTCTTCTTTTTCCAGATAGAGCACCCAGCTGCCAAGTTGATGGTATTGGCTTCCCAAATGCAGGAACAGGAAATGGGTGATGGCACAAATTGGGTCATAATTTTTGCCGGAGCACTTCTAGAAGGCGCGGAGGATCTTATTCGTATGGGCCTTACACCCACTGATTTAGCCGATGGATACCAGTTAGCTTTAAATAAAGCTCTTGAGATTTTACCAAATTTAACGTGTTGGGAAGTTTCAGACCCACGAAATATTGATCAAGTAAGTTTCATTTGTATAGAGAATAGATGTAAATAGTTGATATGGAAAATAATTCTTGGTAGTCACCATTGGTTGACCACTTGTAGTAGAAGAAAAATGGAAACTTTAGTAACTGTAACATTGTGTAAAACTATACCCAAAATATACCAGGATATATTGAAATATAATACATTTCATGTGTTAATATGGAAGATGTCTTTAAAAATAAAATCAAAGTTGTAGACCTCATATTTTATGTTGTTTGAGGCAGATATAGGATTGGCTTTAGGGTGATACAAGGGTAGGACACCTTGGGATATACATTATTGGTATACTTGTGTTGTGGCCAGATGCTGGTTCCATGGAAACTCCTGCTAGCTGTCAGGCAGCAAAAGGATGTCTCCAATTGTATTGAAAATGCACTAAAACATGATGTATCAAGCCATCTTGCATATAAATTTCAAATCTTGTTGCACTGTGGTTCCCAAGATAAAAGCCACTGAGAGTGGAAGTGGCCAGAGTCTGTTACTGACATTGACCGGGAACCAGTACTGACAATCTTTGTGGTACAGACGTGAGCAGTCATGTTGTATTCTTTGTGTAAAGCTGATTATAAGGAATGAAGGGTTTTTATTGCTAAATGGTGTCAGTGTGTCTGAATTAGAAAAAGTGGAAAAACCTTTATACTAAATGGCTTTTTGACCACTGTTGAACAACAGCTTTTAAGAGAGTAATGGTACGAAATATGCCAAAACTAGTGGATAGTGATTGACAAATTTTATAAAAGGAATTATTGAAATCTGCATCATTGAGAATGAGGCCATAATGAGTTCAAACCAAAATGCAGGGAAGTGCTTAAATACTATTGGCAAAAAACATCTACATAATGTGGTTGGCGGAGTGTATATATGAGGTTATATACAATCTGCCATTATGTATATACACAATCAATATATATATGATTGTATACATGTCATTCTGGTGGTGGTTGTATTGAAATCTAAGGACAACATAGTTGATAGGACATCTTATTTAAATTAACACTTTCGCGCTTTATATTAGAGATAACTCGTCACTGGTTTTTCTTACGATTCCGCTTAACTGCCTACTTTTCTCGTCAATCGAAAAAATATTTCTATAAATTCCATTTTTTAACCGAAATGGATGGGGATACTTTTGTTTTGTAGAGAATTTATTTGCGAAGTTTTTGGTACCAGAATGAATATTATATCACATAAACTTCTATGAGTAAAAAAAAAAATACACAAAGTATGTTTGGGGGTGTGGCGAGCGTGTGGCAGTGGGTTCCCTTTAGCCGTTGATATATCCAACACGTGGGAAATATTTGTATGTGTTATGTATATGTCTGTGTAGGGAATTTTACTGCGATCACTGTCATACAAATTATAAAATGTTTCAACAAGTATAAACATGACAAACATCAAACGAACGAAAACAACGCGTTCGTTTCTGCCGCGAACGCATACTGAGCGACGTGGTTCTATATTTGGCGCTTCTCTTACACATGCTTTGTACCAATGTTATACAGTTCATCTTATAGAAAATTTTATTGCGAACACATTGGTATAAAAAAGAAATACGTACATAGAAAAGTAGTGTCAGGAAACGTATAAACTTTCCAAGCATGATTTCCCCCCTGTGTTTTCGCCAGTGCGCTCGCGGCTAACTACTCTCCACTTCACACACTCTTGCGGGTGGGCAATTACCTATATTAAACATTCATATGCATATGTCCGTGTAGAGAATTATATTGCGATTCCAATGATACCAAAATTAGCGATGTAGGACAACTGTAGGCTTCGCAACCATTAAGAAAGTGGAAACATTTTGTTGCTGTTTGGCGCTCTCGGCGAGTGATCTGCATAGTTTTTTATTTGGTGTTGATACTCCTTATGCTTGGGCGGCATTTTATAGGTATGCTCTTATAGACAATTTCATTGCGAACACAGTGATACCAAATTTAAATACGTGCGCCTTCAATTATTGTCAGGACAGTCAAGAGTGTACACTTTTTCGGTCTTACCGCGTAGGCGCGCGAAGTGCCGAAAGCATCTGGGGTATTGTTTTTTTTTTTTGAGCGCCGAGAGCGCGAAAGTGTTAAAAGGAAGTAGGATAAGGAAATATTGCTATGCAACTATCATGCATATTTAAGGGAATTCTTAAACCCAGTGGCTTTGACACCAGCCTGTAATGGTGGCTGTCAGTGCCACTTTAACTTACATCTAGATAAATATAAAATGAGGCTTTTTGAAATTTTAAATATGTAATTAGCATTCCAGGTATAAAAGACTGAAACAAGTCAAAGATTTTGAACTTGCTTCCCTGTATATACTGATAGGCAAGTAGCTGGTAACAGTGTTTTATGTTATGGTGCCTGCTGACACATTACCTTGTGATCCAATATCTGCTGATATGGTGCCTGCTGACACATTACCTTGTGATCCAATATCTGCTGATATGGTGCCTTCTGATTCCTCTTACCACTGGCTTAGCATTTGCTGACAACCCCCCATTGATGTGATGCCTGCTGACCTGGGTACAGAATTGCAGTAAAATATTTGTAACATTCATAAGGGAGGCATCTAAGTAATCAAATAAAAGAACATGCAGTAGGGAGGGAATTATCAGGGGGAAAGTGCCAAGTATTACAACTATATAGCACTAGGAAAGGGTCAGGATAAGAATTTGGGATGGGACGGGAGGAAAGGAATGGTGCCCAACCACTTGGATGGTCGGGGATTGAACACCGACCTGCATGAAGCAAGACCGTTGCTCTACTGTCCAGCCCAAGTGGTTGGGCGGGAATATGAAGGAGCATAGCTCTGCTATTGAAAATGAATTGAAGATTTCTGTAAATCTCCATAGAATAGGTGAGTAATCCACAGGACTATGTCATGGGCATGGTGTAATTATAGAGAACAAAAACATAGTTGTGATCATACACAAACCCCAGCTAGCAGCAGAAGGCCCAGGGAACAGTGGAAATTCTCCAGGTCATAGAGGGTGTAGCAGTGGTATACTGTGGAGCAAGAGCCAAGCTTTTTATTCTTGGAGACTGGCATCAAAGGGAAATGAACCTACCAGAGATAAGAAAAATGTGCTATGCAGACAGGCAAAGTGAGCTAAATTGAAAGAAGAGGTGATATAATTAGTGTTTTCCTAGGAATAATGGAATGAGGGGGTACAGGTGGAAGTTGGAAGAATTTGTAAGGCATAAAAGTATAAGAGAATGGTCATGGGAAGTGGGAATGGTAAACAAGTGTAATGATCTTGGACCATAGGTGGTGGAGGCAACTAGCTTCAGCAGCAAAACTCAAGTGTGCTGGGAAGTTGGGAGGTACAAGTACACCAGGTACTATAGCCACCAGGCATGGCTGGACATACTACTGTATAGCCACCAGGCATGGCTGGACATACTACTGTATAGCCACCAGGCATGGCTGGACATACTACTGTATAGCCACCAGGCATGGCTGGACATACTACTGTATAGCCACCAGGCATGGCTGGACATACTACTGTATAGCCACCAGGCATGGCTGGACATACTACTGTATAGCCACCAGGCATGGCTGGACATACTACTGTATAGCCACCAGGCATGGCTGGACATACTACTGTATAGCCACCAGGCATGGCTGGACATACTACTGTATAGCCACCAGGCATGGCTGGACATACTACTGTATAGCCACCAGGCATGGCTGGACATACTACTGTATAGCCACCAGGCATGGCTGGACGCACTGTAGCCACCGTCCACCACATGTAGCTGGACGCGTCTTCCCATGGACACCCCAGGGAAGCACAAATTTCCAAAACAAAAAAATAATAAGTTCAGGGTTTGAAGGTCTGGTAGTTTGGCTGCAGAAATGTAGATAAGCTTTGTGACACTGATATACCTAAGCCAGGTCAAATCATTAGGTTGTTGTTGCCGACACAAATGGCTTGTTGACCATTGAATTTACAACAAAATTCTGAATGGGTATTGAAATTTTGTTTCTCTCTTTATCTGATACAGAGCACCACTTGGTTTCCGAACCCCTTGGGGACGAGACCCGTCGGTTAACATGTAAGTTCGTATACGAGAAATAGAGGGGAAAAAATAAACTAGAAATGTAAAAAGAAATTTTTCCGAAAAATTTATGAAAAAAACTCTAGGGATACAAATCGTCAGGTTCATGGCGTAAATGCGACCGTGTTTTGTTTGTACTCATCAATAAGTGAAGTCCTGATCCGCTTTATAAAAGTCCTTAATTGTTCCTAACTGATTATTAAGACGTCTGGCAAACATCCTCTGGATGTTTCCTGCCAGCCTGCAGGCACATCCTGCCTAAAATATACGATGTACTGTACATTTAAGAAACAAATCTGGGTCACAGGTCTGTGGAGTGTGGTTAGGCTTACGGAGTCAGCCGGTCCCTCCCCCACCACCAACACACCTCCCCCTCTCCCCCCACCACCGACACACCTCCCCCTCTCCCCCCACCACCGACACACCTCCCCCTCTCCCCCCACCACCGACACACCTCCCCCTCTCCCCCCACCACCGACACACACACCCCCCCCCCCCACCCCAAACCCATACACGCACACACACACTCTCAAAGGTCACGTGGTTCACAGTTCACTTCAACACCCATATATCGCTTCCTGCCTGCCTGCCTCCTTCCCAGCCTGCCAGCCTGCCTCCTTCCCAGCCTGCCAGCCTGCCTCCATCCCTGCCTGCCTCCTTCCCAGCCTGCCAGCCTGCCTCCTTCCCAGCCTGCCAGCCTGCCTCCTTCCCTGCCTGCCTCCTTCCCAGCCTGCCAGCCTGCCTCCTTCCCTGCCTGCCTCCTTCCCAGCCTGCCAGCCTGCCTCCTTCCCTGCCTGCCTCCTTCCCAGCCTGCCAGCCTGCCTCCTTCCCAGCCTGCCAGCCTGCCTCCTTCCCTGCCTGCCTCCTTCCCAGCCTGCCAGCCTGCCTCCTTCCCAGCCTGCCTCCTTCCCAGCCTGCCTGCCTCCTTCCCAGCCTGCCAGCCTGCTTCCTTCCCAGCCTGCTTCCTTCCCAGCCTGCTTCCTTCCCAGCCTGCTTCCTTCCCAGCCTGCTTCCTTCCCAGCCTGCCTCCTTCCCAGCCTGCCTCCTTCCCAGCCTGCCTCCTTCCCAGCCTGCCTCCTTCCCAGCCTGCCAGCCTGCTTCCTTCCCAGCCTACCTCCTTCCCAGCCTGCCTCCTTCCCAGCCTGCCTCCTTCCCAGCCTGCCTCCTTCCCAGCCTGCCTCCTTCCCAGCCTGCCTCCTTCCCAGCCTGCTTCCTTCCCAGCCTGCCTCCTTCCCAGCCTGCCAGCCTGCTTCCTTCTCAGCCTGCTTCCTTCTCAGCCTGCTTCCTTCCCAACCTGCCTGCCTGCCTCCTTCCCAGCCTGCCTCCTTCCCAGCCTGCCAGCCAGCCAGCCTGCCTGCCAGCCTGCCAGCCAGCCTGTTTCCTTTCCAGCCAGCCTGCCTCCCCCCTGCCATCATGCTAACGGGTAGTGTGTGATAGGCTTATCTTCGGGAATGAGCCGGTCTCACCCCCACCACCAACAAACCACCCGCCCCCCTACATCCCATCTCTCAAGGTCACGCGGTTCAACCGCGTGACTACCACTCACTCCCTGCCTGCAAGCTTGCCTGCCTGCCTGCCTGTCTGCCTGTCTGCCTGCCTGTGCCTGCCTGCCTGTGCCTGCCAGCCTGCCTTTCCCTCCCTAATTTTCACTACTTCCATCCCTTCCTGCCTACCTCCTAGCATCTCTCCCTACCTCCCCCTCCCTCTTAGCATCTCTCCCTACCTCCTAACATCTCTCCCTACCTCC